TTATATTATCGGGTTACCAGATGCTGTACCATTTTATTTTCTATTTTACTTGTTGCTAGTTGTGAGCTGTCCTGAGACGCCAGTGGATGGACAGTCTATAAAAGTGTTAAATAAAAGAACAAATAAATAAATAAGGGTCGCAGCCAAGGGAATTTGAGAGAATGGGGCACAATCTCAATGCGATGCCTGGAATCCTTCCAGCTGTAGCCTAACGGCACCCAATCTGACTGCTTTTGGCTGCCCAGCTGCACTGCTCTGGAGGGGGAGAGGCGGTCCCTCACTTCCAGAAGCCCTCACCTCTTCTCCTCCCTGCTCCCCCAAAACAGCTCTTGCCCCTTCTTCGAGGCCATTCCCACAACCAGCCAGCAGGTCCTTTCCATGCTGGCTGTGTGTATGTGAGGCCCAAGCCTGGATTCCCAGCTGAGAAGGATGGGTGGAATGAAACTCTGCAGAATCCATTCCTCTAGCATTTGTGGACTTGCTCTCATGTTTGGCCTGGGCTTGAGAAGTGCACTGAGCTTATGCACCCCGAGAATGAGGTCTGAATGTGTTCACAGAACAAATTCTGCACAACCAGCAACCTTCTTCCATGTCATGGGCAGCAGCACAAAGGTGGTAGAGGGACAACGCTTGCACAGTGCTTGGGGCTCAATCCCTGGAGAGAACCCCACAAATGCTGTCCAGAATTCGGACTCAGGGTCTCAAGGAAGCCAACTGGAGTCTAGCCATCTGAGCCCAGGGAATCTGATGGATTCCCTCCTCCAAAACAGATTCCTCCCAGATCCCTGCTCAGAGGCTGGAGTCCGGCTGCTGATCCTGGATCTGGGAATCCAAAAGAATCCCATCACTCCTAGACGAGGTTGGGATCATGGAGGGCTCATCAGTGGCACCTTCTCAAACTAGGGAGAGGGAACAAGTTGGGGGCTGCGGGGTTCAGTCCTGGGTCCAGCTTTCATCTCCATTTTTATTGGAGAGGAAGAGGATTTGGATGAGGAAGTCCAGGGAAGACTTCTCAGATTTGCAGATGACACGAAACTGGATGGGACAGTTAATAATACCCTGGAAGAGAGAAAGGAGATTCAAAATGATTTCGAGAGGTTGGAGCACTGGACTGAAAACAACAGAATGAAATTCAGTAGGAACAAATACCAAGTCCTGCCCACAACAGTAAGAAACCACAGACATCACTGCAAGATGAGGAGTACTTGGCTCAGCAATACTGCAAGTGAAAAGGAGTTGCTGTAGATCCCCATCTGATCATGAGTCAAAGCTGTGATGTGGCTGCAAAAAGGGCACATGCTATTTTAGGCTGCATTAACAGAAGTGTCACTTCCAAATCATGTGAAGCATGAGTTCCCCTCTGTTTAGCACTGCATTGCAAAGTCTGACTTACTGGCCTGGGGCATGATGCTCATCCAGAACTGTCCTGCTGTTTCAGCCAACAAATCCTGGATTCATTCAGATCTGTTAAATTCTGTCTTTTTTTTATATATATATCGGGGTTATCTCCTGGGCAAGACGAAACAACTCACAATGCTCCTTAAGTTGCTTCCCCCCATCCCTTGCCTCATGCCCACGGCATCCCTCTTTCGCTGACATGCAACCCCCACACCACTTTTCTGGCCTTAGAAAAATAAAGTTTGTGGTATTTTTTCAAGCTTTCTCAATTTTCTGCTTTGTCCTTTTGCTGAAGAAACAACTCACTGAAATCCAACTGCAGGTGGTCAAGCAGGTAATTCTGGACTGAAGTCATGCTTTCCAAGGCCAAAGACACAAGCATGCTTTTAGTACAATATTCTCAGTGTCCAGGATGGGCTGATATATTGTCGGCTCAGGGTTTTGTGCGGGAGCAAAGCTTTTCAACCTGTTTGCAAATGACCTGCATTTAGGAGTGAGCAGTGAAGTGGCTGAGTTTGCTGATGATATCAAGCTATTTAGGGTGGTTAAAGCAAAAAAGGCAAAAGGAGAAGGGGGTGTCGGAGGATGAGGTGGCTGGATGGAGTCACTGGGGCAGTGGGTGTGAACTAGGGTGGACTCCGGGGGATGGTGGAGGACAGGAGGGCCTGGAGGAATGTTGTCCATGGGGTTGCCATGGATCGGACATGACTTTGCAACTAAACAAAACAAACAAACAAACAAAAAAAGCAAAAAAGGATTCAAAGGAGCTCCAAAAGAGGCTCTCCAAGCTGGGGGGATGAGCAAGTGTAAAGGAATGGTAGGCATGTTGTGAGCGGAGCTGGCTGGAGCCGGGGGTCAGACTAGATGGCCTGGGAGACCCCTTCTGATTAGCGCTGTTTCTGTGTTTCTATGAATGCATGTTGGGGCAAAAAATCCCAATGACAGATATAGGCTGATGGGATCTGAGCCAGCACTGACTGAGCAAGCAAGCAGTCTCGGAGTAGTAGTGGAGAGCTTGATGAAACTGAAACCCAGTCAACAGCTGCTGTGAAAAAGGCAAAGTCCATGCTAGGCTTAATTAGGAAAGGAAAGGAGAAGAAAACTGTCAAGAGCAATTTTGCCTTCTATAGATCTTCGGTTTGGCCGCACTTAGAGGGTTGTGTACAGTCCTGGCCCCCTTCCCTGGAAAAGGGAATGACAGAGTTGGGAAAAGTGCAGAGAAAGGCAACTAAAATGGGGTGGGGGTGGGGGTTAGAGGTGCTCCTCCCTGAGGGGTGGGGTCTACAACCATTGGGAATGTTTAGTTTAGGAAAGGGTGAGACATGATAGAGGTGTTTAACATAATGTGTTATCTCCCATAAAACTAGAACCCGGGGCCATCATATGTAGTTCAAGACAGATTAAAGGAAGCACATCTTCCTAAGTTCTGTAATTTAACTATGGAATTCACTGCTGTAGGAAGTGGAGATGCCCCCCAATTTGGATGACCTTAAAAGGGGACTGGGTAGATTCATGGAGGTGGGGGAGGCTCTCAGGGGCTTTTAGCCTTGCTGACCACGTGCTCCCTCCTTCACCAGAGGTTTGATGCCTGCACATATCAGTTGCTGAGGAGCTGGGCAGGAGGAGGTCTTGCATGTCTCCTGCTGGAGGGTCTGCCAAAAAGGTGAACAGGTGCTGGATTGGATGGACCCTTGGTCTGATCCAGCATAGTTTTTCCTGTGTTCTTATGTTTTTAGGGGCAGAGACTGCATTCCAAAAGAATGATTTGTAAATTTTTGTGAACTGACCAGAGAGTTCTGGCTGCTGAGCAATGCAGAGAGGATGATGATAAAAACAACAGCAATATTGCTTTTATATCCCACCTTCATAGCTCCAGTTTATCCTCAATATCAGCAAGCTTCTGAGGTAGGTTGGGCTCAGAATCCGTGACTTGGGCAGTGTCACTGGTGAGATTCAAGGCTGAGTGGGATAGAAACTAGATCTCCTGGGTCTTCAGCCCAATGATCCAGCCATTGCACCAGACCAGCTCTCCATAATAACCCCCACAACAAGCTGTGCTTACAAGCAGAAAGAAGAGTTAATAGCATGAAGTGCTGTGCCAACATCGAGAATCTGAAATGCCTCCCGAGACTAAGCCTGAAAGATTGGAAGCAGTCCAGGCATCGGATCACGGAAACCGTGACCAAGGGAAAAGCAAAGATTTCAGGATGGGGCTACTTTTAAAAGAAAGCTGCGTATCCCTAAGGCCATATAAGTACCAGAGTCCATGCTAAGGTCATGTGCTAGGAATCTCTGATCTTTGGTGGGGAAAGGTATTCGGGAGTGTAAATTCTTATTTGTCAAGCTTTGTTATTGTGTCTTGGATTTATTGATGATGAAGAAGAAAGAAGCTAAGCTTCATTATGTGTCACGGAACGAAAGAACGGCAAGTGCTGGGGCAGGGTGACTATGCGGACCTCTCCTCCACAGCAACTGGCTGAAGCATTGATGGGCACACATACGGGAGAATAAAGGCCCTGCCTCTAATTAATGCCTGCCAGTGATTGATGGCCATGCAAGGGCAGGCCCAAAATGCCAAAGCGACTCAGCATAGCCTGCCAGTAACTGAGCCCTGGGAGAGTGTTTCAGCCTTTTAGAAGGGGTGGGGTGGGAACCATACAAAATGTGGGAAAGCACCGAAGCGTTGGTAGTTGGGGGAAGGGGGTGGGACGGAGAAGGCGATGGGGCCCTCTAGGGAGTCCTGGAGGGCTGGATTTGGCCCTGGGCCTGAGATCTTGCATCGGGCTTTGTGCGTTGTGCCTTGGAAATCGTTCTTGCTGGCAACAGTTCAAATTCAGGGGGGCTGTTTCAAGAATGCCTGAGCATCTGAGGGCATTTTCTGGAAGGTGTTGGGGCAGGGGATTTTCAAGTGGCTCACGATCTGTTTGAAGGGTTATTTTGCAGGGCCTTTGCCCTTTGGTGCCCTGCTCGCTGCTTCTCTTCTGTTCTAAAATCCCCACAAAGCTGCATGGGGAAGCTGTGCACGTCATTTGGGGGCAGTGGGGGGGGGGGCGCACAGGGCCACTAGCCTAGCACCGTGGGGCAGAATAGTCCCCTCGGGGCCTCTTCCCCATGGCTTCCCTTTCACCCCACTTCTGGCTCCCGACCCTCTGGCTTTGGTGCCAAGCATTGCATTGCATTTCTTCTGCAATGTGTGTGTGTGTGTGGGTGTGTGTGTGTGGATGTTGCAGTTCTCCTGATTCATGCCCCCCCCTTCCCCACTGCTTCAGCCTCTACCTCCCCCTTTCGCGGAGTTTCCCCATGTTGGAATTCGAGCCCGCCTGCCGGCGGCAAATCAAGAGCACACCTCTCAGGCTGGAACCGTCCCTAACACACGCGGCTCAAATATAGGCCAGCGCCTTGCGTAATGCAGCTCTGTCAATGACCTCTTTTCTTCTTCCTTCCTTGTTTGCTCGCCAGGGGAGTTTCTGCGCGCCCTTTCGGCTGCGCTGCCGCGGGGCTGTCGCAATCGGGCCGTCCGTCCCTCCCCCTCCCAGCCCTTTTCTCCTCTGCCTCGCAGGGCAGCTGCGCCGAGCCGCTATAAAGCTCCGCCAGGCCGGCGGCAGAGGGAGCAGCCAGAGGTGCGAAGAGAGCTCTCGCCTCCGCCCGCCTCAGCCACAGCAGCCCTCTCAGCACCATGGGAACGGGCCACAGACTCGGGGCGCTGCTTCTGCTGCTGGCTCTCCTTCCTTGCGACCTCGCAGAGCCCACCGTGGAACCGTAAGCCGCTTGCGGGGGCTCCCCTGCCCTGCCCTGCCCTGCCTCCTCTCTTCCTCCAAAATCCCCTCTTGCTGCCCCGGGAGCCCAGTCTGAAGCCTCCCCGCACAGCTCGGTGCAACTGATCCTTGTCCCCCAAGAAGCAGCACAAGCCACAAATAGGTTGTGTGAATTCGCCCTCCGCAAAGGCATGCGGAGGGGCTTGCGAGGGGCTGAGATCTAGACCTGGGCTGAATCCGCCGCACTGTGGAAATGGACTTTTCCTGCCCTCTCCTTCCCACGGCAGTCCTGCCAGCCAGGATTCCTCCCTATGCTGCAGCTGATAGAACTTGCCATTTTTTTTCAGTGTTAGGTCTTGTGGTTTAATAGGGAAGGATGACCTGTCTCCTTTCTCCTCTTTTGTGTATGGGAGATCCCAGGAGAGAAAGACACCGTCATCTCATTATGCCATTTCCAAGCCTTAGAACCTTTTCTTCATCTTAAACAAGCTATGGAAATGGTCGCAAAGAATAGGAAAGGGCCTAGAGAAGGAGATTATGTACAACGCCTGCAAACTACCATGAGGGAAGGATCATGTGTGCTCAATAAATGTTTCATGCAGAGGAGCCTGGAGCCATATTTTGTCCCACGCTTGCTTCTGGTTAAACAGATCTGTCAGACTCTGGAGCACAATGAGAACCTACCAGATCTGTTTGGTTAAGTGGCTAAGCCTCTCCACCACAAGGGGCACTTTCTCTTTCAAATTGCCGTTGCCTCTCAGGGTAGATAAAATGAGTGTTTTTTTTTTTTTTGACCACCAAGAGCATCTTCCTTCAATCCTTCTTTCTCTGAATTTGGAAGAACTGGCATGCAGGTAGAAGTGGGGGTACAGAGAACCATGCTGCAGTGAACCATGCTGAAAATCATGGATCTGCAGGCTTCTGACATGAGCTCTTTCCCCTTCCAGGCAATTTTTGGTGCTGCTTCCAGTTCAGATGCAGACAGAGAGCCACCAGAAGATATGTATCCATCTCAACCATGTAAATGAGTCCGTGGTCCTTAGTTCCTTCCTAGAATATGGGAATGAGAACAAAAGCCTTATCAGAGACATAGTGACAGACAAGGATATGTTCCAGTGCATCCAGTTCCAGGTAAGAAATTCTACCAGGCTGTTTCTCCATCTGTCCATCCACCCCTGAGTTCCCTTGGTCCTAGATCTTTCCATCAATCTGTAAATGAAACAAGTCATATGGAGACCATATTTTAAAACAAGGCATTATTAGTGAAACTGTCCTTAAAACGGGAAACAGTTGTTAAAACAACAGAGGCTTGAAACGCAATAAGGCAGGAGAGCAGAGTTAAGGACTGACGTGGGATACGAATGCTCAGTAAAAATTAACATGCAAACTGCGCATGCAAGGCTGTCGTGGACGTGATGCTTCATTTCATTCATAGGATCAGCAAACACTGGAGATGTTTTGCTGTTCGCTCTGCCTTTGTTGTGTGAAACAGAATATATTTGTCCTTCCAGGCAGCAAGTCTTGGGGTTCTCAAACAAGTCCTGATTGATGGATTGCTCTTCTGTACTGTCATTTATTCTAGGAATCTCATGCCAGTTAAATTAAAAACTCCATAGTGCCAGTACTTGATAGAAGAGAAAATAGTTAACGACCAACAATTTAAAAAAAACCTGGGAAAATAAAAAGGTTCTGGCCCGGTGCTGGAATGAATCAGTGCCAGGCGTGCCTCTGGGGAGCGAGTTGTACAGTTGGGGTGCTACAGCAGAAAAGGCCCTTGTGTCAGCCCTCCCCTCATCTTGCAAGGAGGGTTTTTGGAGGAGGATCTTAAGTATAGGCTCATCCAGGCTCATTAGAAAAAACATGTGTTAGAAAAAACACATTTTCCACTGTTTCAGCCTGCTCTGATGGAGAAGTACATGATCTTCATTTAGGATCCCGTGTGGTGTAGTGGTTAAGAGCATAGGACTGGGACGTGGGAGACCTGGGTTCCTTGGGGCAGTCACAGACTCTCAGCCCAACCTACCTCACAGGGTTGCTGTTACGGAGATAACATGGAGAGAAGCTTGTGTTCTTTGCAGGAGAAGAAAAATGGGACAGAAATGTAATCATAATGACTTCTAAAAAACATCCTTCCATGACTGTTGATGGAAGACAATCAAAATATGTAGCTGCAAATGCCTTCCTGTATTTAGCGATAGGAGGAAGCTGGAGATAATTTGCCAATATATATTCTGATCTCGGCTCTATTCCCCACTTTAGTGGCAAAGACAGAATTTACCTGGAAATCAAGCTGTAATCATCTATTTTTGATTTGTCGTCTCACCTTCATGAAATTATACTTTTAATTGGATTAGTTATCATTCAGTTTGATTAGCTCTATCATTTCGCTTTTCCACCAAAGACAGGCCTAATGCCAACATCATTGGCAAAGAGCTGGAGGGTAATAAATAGAATTAAACCCATATATCCGCACTGATGCATCTGTAGAAGGGACTCCAACTTCTCATTGTAATGCCACGTTCTTTACACATGGAGGAAGATACTAAGAACTTAGACTAACCAAGATCTCCAGAGAATGATGTCATTATTTTCTTAGCTTTATATATTTGCGACAATGAAAGGGGGCTATTCTTGTTCACTGCTTGTAAATTCAAGGCTGTAGCTTCCTTTATGGACTTGATCCATCCCGTAGTTGATTTTTCTTTACTACTTCTGCCTCCCACTTTCCTTAGCCTGAAGGCCCTATTAGGATTGGCCAATGTTCAAAATGCTTCATTAGATGGTTAGGAAAAACCAGCTGCTACGTTGGAGGTGGTCTTCTGTTGGACACAACACCCCTGCATCCAGTGCTTTATTTTCCCCATCTAATACTGTGCCCACTTGGAGTAGCTCATTAAATTAAATGGGGCTTAAGTTGATCGAATGGTAGATTTATGTCCAAGGGTCTCCATAGGATTAAGTGTTGAATGAATATCGTGTTTCCCTGAAAATAAGACACTGTCATATTTGTTTTGGCTCACGAAAACACACAAGGTCTTATTTTCGGGGTAGGTCTTATATTTTAGCAAGTACCAAAAATAGTACTAGGTCTTATTTTCGGGATAGGTCTTATTTTTGGGGAAACATGGTAGATAGTGCCAGTGATATATAAACTGAATGAGGGCTCATGATCCCGGATGGGGAATATGTGGCTCAACAGAACTGAAAAAGAAAAAGATCTTGGAGTAATTGTGGACAATAGGCTAAACATGAGCCAACCAAGTGATGCAGTTGTCAAAAGGGCAAGTGCTATTTTGGGATGCATTAACAGAAGTATTACTTCTAAATCACAGGAAGAAGTAGATCTCATATACACATCACTAGTCAGACCTCACCTGGAATACTGTGTCCAGTTCTGGGCACCAAGATTTAAGAAAGACGCAGGTGAATTAGAAAGGGTCCAGCAGAAAGCGACAAAAATGATGCAGGGTTTGGAAAAACTGCCCTATGAGGAGAGACGGAGAGAACTGGGCATGTTCAGCCTTGAGAAGAGAAGCCTGAGGGGGAACATGCTATCCTTCCATAAGTACGTCAAAGGCTGTCATAAAGAGGAAGGTCAAGATCCCTTCTTGCTGATGCCAGAGTGTAGGATACGAAATAATCAGTTCAAGTTGTGACAACCCAGATTCAGGCTGGGCATCAGGAAAAGCTTCCTCACTGCCAGAGCAAGACAACAGTGGGACCAGCTGCCTGGAGAGGTGGGGGGCTCTCCCACACTGCAGACATTCAAGGAGAAACTGGGCAGCCATCTGAGTGGGATGGTGTCCTGTAACAGCAGGGGATTCGTTCTGATGGTGTTCATGGCCCCTTCCACCTCTACTGTGCCATGATTCTATGATCCAAAAGTCCCTCAACATGGCTTTTGGGGTGGGGAGGGTTCTTCAGGGTCCCAGCAGCAAGGTCTTGGGTCCCGAGTGCTGGTGCTCCAGCAGCTGAGCTTCTGCTCCACCTGCTGCACAGCTGGTGCAGAAAGATCCATGCCAGCTGCCCCTCAAGAGAGAAATGCAGCTTGGGGAGAAGGAAGAAGGGCCTGCTGGAGGTTGGTGAGGAGAAGAAGCTGGGGTTGTCCCCCTATCCCGGTTCCCCTCCTCTTCCTCAGTGCTTTATCTGGAGGCTGAGAAACTTTCTTCTGGACAAAATGCTGGGAAGAAACCCAGTGGGATGGGAGATCCCCACCCCCTCGCCTTGCTCCAGCCACTGGGCACGCAAAAGCCTTTGACTCTGGAGGAGCAGTGTGGTATAGTGGTTAGAGTGCTGGGTGGGGCTTGGGAGACCCACTTCTCTGTCCACTGTGCCATGAGACTCACTGACTTTGGGCCACTTGTGAACTCTTAGCCCAACCTACCTCACAGGGTTGTGGTGAGGATAAAATGGAGAGGAAGAGAACCTTGTTAAGGCAACTTGAGTTCCTCACAAGAGGAGGAAAGGTATAAGGGTAATGTGAGGATGATGATGGTGATGAGGGGCATCTAGGGTGGAGGCCACTGGATTGTGCCTAGAAAACAGTTATTTTTAGGTTCAGAAGCCTTTACTTACTTATGATAAATCATGACCTCATCGGGTGGGACTTACTTTGGATGGAAGACCTTCATCACTGGGCTGGTTAAGCTTAGAAAAGAGGTGATGAAGGGGAAGCAGGATCGAGGTGGACAGAATTATGCCTGGTGTGGAAAGGGAGACTCTTTTTCCCTCACTCCGAAATCTATAACTTGGGATGACCTCGTGAAGCTGAAGGGTGGGCGATTCAGGACAGATCAAAGGAAAGGTTTCTTTCCCCAGTGCAGAGCTCAGACAGGGAATTTGCATCCACAAGACAGTCACCAATTTCGATGGCGTTAAATGGGAACTTGACAAATACCTGGAACAGAAGGCTATCCAAGGCTACTAGTCCTCATGGCTATAGGCCAGTCCTCTCCAACCTTGTGCCTTCCAGACTGTAACACCCACTGTTCCCAGTCAATGGCCCTGCTGGATGGGAATTCTGGGAGCTGTGGTCCAAAAGCCACTGAAGGCCACCAGTTGGAGAATGCTGCTATAGGCTATCTCCAGTATCAGGGGCTGTTTGCCTATGTACACCAGTTGCTGGGGATCATAGGTAGGAGGGTATTCTTGCACTCCTGTCCTGCTGGAGAGATCCTATGGGAAGCTGGTTGCCCTTGATGTGTACAGGGTCCTGGACTAGGTGGAACCCTGTGTGATCCAGCAGGGCAATTCTTAGGGGCTTGTGTTTTTATGAGTTTAGACAACTACCGCTGTGTTGAAGCCCTTGCTGCTACATATTTTGGAGGGCTGCTTTTAAAAGAAGGAAGGAAGGAAGGAAGGAAGGAAGGAAGGAAGGAAGGATGGAAAGAAAGAGAATTTCCTCTTAAAAAGGCTCCTCCTCCTTCTCCTCTTCCTCCAATAGAAAGCACCAAGTCACAAAGTTGAAATCCGGTTTTGAAAAAGTACATAGGAGGGGGAAAATGTAGGGGTGTGTGGGTGTGTGGGTGCGATGTCACGTTTTCTCAGCGACTAAGGCAGAGTGAGTTGCTGCCTTGGACGTCAGGTGTTGACAGCGGTGGTGACAGGGGCAGCCAGGTGTGGAAGGACAGAATTATGCGCCTCCTTCGCAGTCTGCCCCAAGCGCCCGAAGCCCCCCTGCTGTCCTCGAGGGGAATAAATGTGGCCCACACTGAAGGGCAGATGGGCAGGCGGCGCTGTGATGGGGAGAGCCATCTTGTCGTTTGCTCAGGCAGCAAAGGGGCTTGAGCGGGCCCTGTCAGCAACAGTAAATTGTATTTTGAGTCAGGGAAAACATAAATAATTCCCCATGACTCTGGGAAAAATGTCTGGGGACACCCTCCCTCCAATCCTGTCCCATCGTTGGCAAGGTCTTCCAGCACACTTTTGCTGAAAATGCTTCCTTCTAGTAGCCTGTGCCTCTGGAAAGCTGTTCTGAGGCTCCTTGCATAGAAAGGTTGCAATTAAATTAAATTAAATTACAGCCTTTCAGGGTGGGGAGAACCTGCCTAAAACCAGGGAAGCCACCCAGTGGTGGGCAGTCAGGACTCAGGAAAAAGGGCTGGGCCTGGGGAAGGGGTAGCATCTTCTGGGGAAGCTCGGAGGACCAGACTGGGATTCGCCCAGCACCCTGGCCCTCCGTTGCTGAACAACTGTTTTTGCATCCTGCAGCTTCCCAGATGGGAACCCTCCTGGGGCTCCCCAAAGGTCTTCGCCACAGTGCAGGTGATCGGGGCGACAGTGCGTTTTTGGAGCCGGAAGATGGTGTTGATCAAGAACAGGAGCAACCTCATTTTCCTGCAGACCGACAAGCCTCTCTACAAGCCAGGAGAGCGGGGTATGTGGGACAGCGTCCTGTGGGGATAGACAGCCGGACAAATCTGGGGTCGCCTTTTCAGACCATTCATATTCTCTTGCTCTTTGGAGGGCCCTCTTTGGTGGGCAGCTTGGACCTCCCTGAGGCTGGAGACATGGTCTTCACAGTGTTTTTGACCGCAGTCTAGTGTAAATTTGACAGTCCCCATAGTCAAGACCCCAAGGAGAGCATAAACGCCTGGGCAGCTGCATCGATTCATCTCAACAAACCAGTTCTGGCAGTTCCTAGCTCCACCAGGAACATCTTTTGGGAAGCTAATGATTCTTTGTTGCCCTTGCAAGACCAGCCCAACCTGCTCTGCATTGCAACTGGGCTGCTCAAAGGGGCAGCCTCTTTGCACCCCGCCCCACCCCCCCTGAGCTTAACTTAGCAGCAGAGCCTGCCATGCCCCATTGGGTGCCTGTGGGCCGTGCCGTGCGAATCTGATGTCCTGGGTTGCTTGTAGGGTCAGGCAGAAAGCCCTCAAATAACCCTAAAACAAGCTAGGGATAATTTGAGGTTTGTCTGCCTCTTCAAAGAACCCATCATGTTGGGTTAGGTAAACACGGAAAGCTCCAAGCAAACAGCTGCTTGCATAATTGCGGGGGTAGGTGTCTCAAGATGCTAAGCCCCACGGGGAACTTAATCCATGGTGGCTTTGGGTTAGGTGGGATAGCTCCACTACCTTGGGAGGCTCTTGCTATCTCACACACAAAGACAGAGCTGGTGTGAACGGTGCAGTTAATCTCAGAGGAGAGGGTGAGGTGCAGTTAATCTCAGAGGAGAGGGTGACGGAGAACAATCCGTGCCCCTCCTTCCATATATACCTGCCTTTCCCCTAAGATCTGGGTCAGAGGTCTTTCCCCGGGATCCCTCTTTGAAGGAGATCAGGAGAGTGGCTACCGGGGAAGGGCCTTCTCTGTGGTGGCACCATGACTATGGAATATGCTCCCCAGAGAGGTGTGCCTGGCACCAGCGCTTTATTCATTTCGGTGCCAGGCCGAAACCCTTTTATTTTCCTGATATTTTCAGATTTAATGGTGTTTTAAAATGGGTTTTATTTGCTGTTATTTGATGCTGATGCTGTGCCTTATTATGGTATTACCATCCTGAGACCCTGGTGAAGGACAGGAAATCGTTTAATAAACACATATTTGCATACATAATAAAAGGGTCCTTCATAATAAAGGGGTCCTCCACTACACCACTGCTTATTCACCCCTAAGATGAGGCACGGTTGGCACCTCTGACTTATGAGACAAGCTGCATCAGGCAGAGGGAGCAGAGAAACAACCCCACACAGGGAACCCTGCATCCCACTGGGGTATAATCCTGAAATACTCCAAAAAATAAATCCTGAGACTTTTTGCATGTTCTTTGCCGCGAAGCCTGCATGTGTGCAAGCATGCACACATGTGCCACTACCAAGCCTCTTAAAATGCTCTCCTTCTTCCTTTCCCAGTTCAGTTCCGTGTTGCTTCTCTGGATGATCACTTCCGGCCCTTGGACGACCAGGTACATTTCATCGTTTTATTTACGCACCCATTCATATATTATATTTTAACTCACCGGATCAACCAGTCCTTCGGGGGCAGATTGCAAACCGTGAAAAGGCTGCCATGCAAACCGTTCAAACAGATGGCTATATAATAGAAACATTTAAAAGAATAAAGCACAATCCAGAAGTTCTCTAAGGATCAGTTCACACAACCAGCTCTTGGGGACTGCTTGTGTGGATTTTTTTTTTAAATCTAAGCAAACATTGGCCCCTGAATTGCTGGAGCAACCTTCCCCGGGGCAAGCCCCTTTCTTTCCCCAGTGGATGGCCTTCTCACGACCACTATTTGCCTCTTTATCTTTCCCCTCTCCATGGCTCTGGGATTGCTTGACAGGCAGAGGGCCTGTGAACAAATGCCTCTCTTCACAGCCCCCATTGCCTGGATCAGAAGTGAGAGGGAGATGAACAAGCAGGCTGCAGTGGAGAGAAACAGCAGTGCTCCCTGGGCTGGTGGGCCCTTGGCAAGAGCCCAGTTGTCCTTACCCTTGGCTCTAGAGCTGACACAAAGCAGCCTGTCAACAAACAGCCTCCACACCAGTCTTCCCCAACCTGGTACCCTCCAGAAGTTCTGGGGCAACTCCCAACATTCCTGCCCATTGGCGCTGCTGGCTGCAATGCACGGAAGTTAAAATCCAAATAGCCAGAGCTGGCTGCCTGGGAAAAACGGCTTTACACGGAAGAACCGCTTACACTTGCTGTGCCGGTGAAGCAGAACATGATCCTGACTGGGGACGTGCCGCACTGCGTGTCTTCCAGTTTTGCCTTTTGGAAAATGGGTGCTTCCTGATTGTTCAAGTTCACGGGCATTTTCCAAATGGGCAAACATGCCCGGCGGCATACGGTATACATGCGAAAAATAATCTTTGTAGCCCTTTGCAAAACCCACTTTTCAAGCATCTCTCGAAGAGAAAGGGGGCTTGAAACATACCCTTTGTAGGAAGCCTTGGGCATCTGGGGGTGCTCATGCACCCCTCTTCCAAGGGTGGATAACTCAAAGGTGCAGGAGGTTTCCCTCCCAACCCTGAAGATCATGTGAAAAGGGGCATTTGGGGGCCCACCCCTTCGATCCCCCTTTCCTGTCGGATCCCTGCAGTGTTTTGGGGATCTCCTATCCCAAGGGTCCCCACACTTGCGCCAGTGTCCCCGAGATGAGAGCACCTGGAGCTCCATTGATAAAGTGAATCTTGGAAGGAGCTACATGGGGACTGCATTGTCTCTGCATATGGCGCCCTCCTTGATCCCTTTCCACTGGCAGGAAGAGTCCTTCTGTTCAGGCAGGCCTTTGGCTTATAAACTGATTTGTTGCAGTTGATTGATGGATTGGTATTGACTGGTGCTCTTTATTTCTTTTATTATTGTGCTTTTAATTTATTTGCTCTAGTTAAGATCTTGCTTTCAGCCTTCATTTTTTTCCCCTAGCCCGCTTGAGTGCCTTGTTTCATGAGTAGGCGGGCTATAAACGAACTCAAGAAACTGACCCTATATCACATTCATTTTAAAATGTGGACTTCCAAATCTTGCCCTTCAAAGTGGTTTTGCCAGTTCCGCTTTCATGAAAAGCTCTGATTTGGTCTGGTTTGGTTTTGGACCCATTTGCTCATCTCTCTGTCGGTCCAGGGCATTTGCAAAGCGCTCCTCCACCTCCATGTTTCAGACGCATCCATTTTCTTCCTGCCAGCTTCCTTCTCTGTCCAGCTTTCACATCCATAGATTGTGATTGGGAATACAGTTGTGCACATGATCTTGGCCTTGGTCTCCAGTGAAACTTCCTCACACTGGATGATCTCTTCCAGCTCCTTCAATGCTGCCCTTCCCAGCCTCTGTCTTCTTCTAATCTCTTAGCTGCAGCCTCTGTTTGAATGGATGATTTAGCGATTTAGCTAAAAGTATGCAGATCTTGCACAAGTTCAATTTCTCTATCGTTGACATTTAAGTTGCACAATTGTTCTGCAGTCCTTTGAAACTGCTGCAGTTCAGCTGGTCTTCACTGGATTTAATCGTTAACCAAAAATTCTGTTCATCTTCAGATCAATGTTTTTGAAGGACAGTAAAGGCCACCTGCTTGGATTATCTACCCCGCACATGAACTTTTTCAGTCCTTTCTGTCTCTGATTTTTCATATTCTTTTCTTTCCACAGATTCCTTTGATTTACGTCCAGGTAAGTTGCCAGTTCTTACAAAAATCTAGAGATTTCTGGGGTGGGAGTGGGGGGTTGGATGGACGAAATTCTCTCCTCTCACAATAATCCCCAACAACGTTGCTGCTTCTCTGTGGCTTCCAGCAGCAACAGCCTCATGCCCCCAGAAACCAGGGAAGAATAGCAGGGAGGCAACATTACCCCAAAAGAAATCCTTTCTGAATTTGAGGCTGTCAATTCTTGAAAGATGCAGTCCCATGCATGTTTAGACAGAAAATGTCCTACAATTCCTAGCACGGCTGTCTGGAGAGATGTTGTAGCACCTTTTCTCAATCTAAACATGCATTGCACCCTAAATCTTAACTTCTGTATTCAGGAATGGGCAACCTACACCTCTCCAAGTTCTGGCCTACAACTCCCCTCAGTGCTAGCCAGCACAGGCACTGGTGCAGGATGGTGGGAAATTTACTGCACACTTGTCAGGGTCCAGGGCTCAGATGTGGGTGGCCAGAAACAAGAGAAGAGCTACAAAGACGCCAGGATGCAGGCAGCGGAGCTTCAGGAAAGACAGAGTCCAAAAGCAGGGTGGAATGGAAAGTCCACATTGTGCAGACCGAGGTCAGGAGCCAGAAGAAGGCAGAACACGGACGTGGTCAGGAACAAGCCAAGGGTCAGGAACCATGAGGACAAACAAAGGTGGCGGAACCTTGGACAGGATAACAGGGCAGGGGATGCAAGCTGGATGCAGACGATCAGGGTAGGATGTGTGGTATTGCAGGCCACACGGCAAGCATGAAATACTGCAAGCCTCAGGCAAGGTGCAGGTACGAGTATGACATAACCTCTGGCTGGTTACAGGAATAACCTGGCCCGCAATCCTGGCAGGAATCGCCCATTGTCTCCCCAGAACCTGAGCCCCTTCCTTCGAACCAGTGACCACCATGTCATGCAAACAGTATTATCTCACTTTGGCGTTCCGCTGCAGTAGGCAGTTACCTTGGAAAATCTCGAGCAAATAGACTTTTTGCAGGAGATGCTGGAAAACAAACAAGCGGGGGCGGACGGAGGAGGTTTAAACATTAACCGAGGCTGCAGTCCTGATGAGAGCGACTTGGCAGTCAGCTCTGCTTCACTGGGCGGAACCTGCCTTGGAGTGAATGGGCTTGGCAACTTAGTCTCAGCAGAGCTGGTGCAGTTTTCAAGAATGCCAGAAAGTCTGCATGGAAGCCAGGGGTTCAAAATGATCGGTGGCTGGTGGGGAAGGGGTGCGAGGGGTGAGGGGGGTGGGCAGACATTTCTACTGGGAATTTCTAAAGCACTCCCGGAGGACTGGCTTTGGGCCCTGCACGTGGGGGTCCCCCCCTCCCAGCTGAAAACTGCAGGACGTGGCGGAGGGCAGACGGCACTCGGCAAGGACAACTGCCTGCTGCACGCTTGCTCTTAAGGACCAGCCCTGGCTGCACAAATGAGATTGCGCCCCTGCTCTGGACACGAGTGGCTTGTGACCATGTGATTTGTGACTTCCAGGATCCCATGAGGAACCGTGTGGCCCAGTGGACAGATGTGGAGCTTTCTACAGGGCTCGCCCAGCACTCCTATTCTCTCGCTTCCGAGCCCAACTTAGGCAAATACAGGCTGGTTGCACAGAAGGCGGATGGGAAGACCGTTGAAGCCACCTTTGATGTGGAAGAATATGGTAAGAGGAAGGGGTCCCTGGTGGCCACAGTGGCTTTCTGCCGATTTCTGCTCTGCCTTGCTTTGCGAAAGACTCGCTTGCTTTTGGCTATGGGCGGTATAGAAATGAAATAAATCAACAAACAAAATAAGCATCAAGTCATGCATGTCGGAGCAAATAATCCTAACTCCAAGGATGACCTGATGGGATCTGGGCTAGTGCTGATGGGCCAAGGGAAGCATCCTCGGGCCGTGGTGGACAACCCGATGAAAATGTTAATTGGGTACACCGCTATGGGGAAACAAGGCAAACTCCCATAGGCATCAAAACTGCCATTGATTTCCCTCATATAATGGGGCAACCACACTGGGAATGTTGTTTATGGCTGTGGTCACTGCACTTATAAAAGGCATCACAGAGAAGGGTCACTAAAATGATCAGGGGAGTGGGACAGGCCCCCTAGAGAGAATGGCTGCTGCAGCAGAAATGGTTCAGCTTAGAAAAGAGCCGAGGAACATGGTAGAGGTGTGCAGAATTATGCCTGGTTGGAGAAGGCAGATAAGGAGAATTTTTCCTCCTTTCCCATGATTCTAGAATCCAAAGGAGTCATCCCACTGGGGGGGGGGGGGGGAGATGGCTGTGATCTCGCTCGCCTCCCAAAGCGGAGTTCCCAACCCAAGTCAGAATGTTCATGAAATTTTTGTTTGTGACCCGATTTGGTCGTGAACGAAGGCGTTCGTGAGCCGAGGTACCACTGTAGTTTGAGAATGGAATTTGCTTCCACAAGATGGAATATTGGCTATCAACTGACCACTAAGTCCTGATGGCCACATGCTGCCTTCAAATACAGCGATAACCCAAACTAACCACGATGGAAGAATACAAGGACATGTCTTGCATGCAGCAAAGTTAATAGACTTGCTAGAAACAAAGAATGAAACAAACCAGTTCAGATTCTTTAATGGGATGAATGATGCACATCATGGGTGTCTAACCTGAGGACCAGGTGTGGTCCCTGGTTGCTCCTCATATGGTTCGTGAAGCCAACAGGAGTCGACCATGTTTTTCTGAGGCCCAGCAGGTGCTCCTGCTGGCTTTTTCTCCATACCGTCTACCTGCTCGCAGCTCAGGGCCTGCAAGGTGGCCCACCTGAGCTTAACGAAGAGAGACCCGGCTACCCAGGCAGTGTGCAACAATGCTCTTTGTACAAGTTGGCGCCTAATTATGGGTGATGCTGCTCTGATGAGGTGAGAAGAGGAAACGGTGTTTCCGATGTGGCCTAAACATTGTTGCCATGTCCTTTCCTTCTTCCTTGTAGTTTTGCCCAAATTTGAGGTTCTGGTGACCACACCGAAGATCATAAGTGTCATGACTGAAGAACTGAAAGTGACTGCTTGTGGCCGGTAAGCATGACGTGTCTTGATTTAGTTAGTCATTTATTTAATAAAATGTGTATGCCGTCCATTACTTGCGTCTCTGGACGGCTTACAACATAAATCAGAATAAAATAGCCAAATTGACGATTCCACGCTGGCTGTAATTCATAAAATACAAACAATAAAATCCGATTGCTATTAATACATATTAAAATATTGATTAAATAAAAAGGTCTTAACCTGGCACCGAAAAACATAAAGTGACGGCGCCAGGCGGACCTCTCTGGGGAGCGCATTCCATAGATGTCCCTTCTTCAGACTTGGAATGGGTGGATTGCGCACCCTGGTAAAAGAGGGAAGGCCGGCAGACCTTCCTTCCCTGCTCGTGCTTCCTCTTCCTCTCCTCTACCAACCTCCACGGTTCCGCCCAGCACCTGGGCTTTGCTGTGTGCCATCAGTGACCTGTAGGGGTGTGGCGCACCTTTTGAGGCGCTGCATTAAGCATAACACAGTGGCTGCGTTCGCACAGCACAGCAAACCATCATGGTTCGCTGTTGTTTTTTACCATGGTCTGCTTGACAAGTGCATCTACGTTCTTGGGCTTTCCATGCACCCTACTTGGTCCTCCCATCTTTGGCATGTATCCCATCAGGCACCACGTGTGAAATTCAGTATCAAGCTGCATCGCTTCCTGCTTGTGTCACCATCCTCTTTGAGGAAGTACAAGGAACAGTAATAAAATCTGTGAATGATACAAAACTGGGTGGAACAGCAAACACCCTAGAAGAGAGATGGATGATCCAGGGTGATCTTGAGAAACTTGAACACTGGGCTGAAAGCAACAGATTGAGATTCAATAAGGACAAGTGCCAAGTCCTCCAACTTGGAAAAAGAAACCAAATCCATCAGTACAAGATGGGGAATACGAGGCCCAACAGAACTGAAAAAGAAAAAGATCTTGGAGTGATTGTGGACAACAGGCTAAACATGAGTGAACAAAGTGATGCAACCGCCAAAAGGGCAAGTGCTATTTTGGGATGTGTTAATAGAAGTAGCACTTCCAGGTCAGGAGGAGGAGCAGTTCCCCTATACTCCTCACTTGTCAGGCCTCATCTGGAATACTGTGTCCAGTTCTGGGTGCCAAGATTTAAGAAGGATGCAGAAAAATTAGAAAGGGTCCAGCAGAAAGCAACAAAAAGGATCCAGGGTTTGGAAACACTGCCCTGTGAGGAGAGACTGAGAGGACCCTGGGCATGTTCAGCCTTGAGAAGACTGAGGGGGGACATGGTATCCCTCTAGAAGTACCTCAAAGTCTGTCACAAGAGGAAGGTCAAGATCTCTTCTTGCTGATGCCAGAGTGTAGGATACGGAATAATCAATTCAAGTTGCGACAACCCAGGTTCAGGCTACGTATCAGAAAAAGCTTCCTCACTGTCAGAGCAATATGGCGGTGGAGCCAGCTGCCTGGAGAGGTGGTGGGCTCTCCCACAGTAGAGACATTCAAGAGGAAACTGAACAGCCATCTGAGTGGGATGGTGTGACATGGTGTCCTGCAACAGCAGGAGGTGGGGCCCAATGGCCTTCATGGCCCCTTCCAACTATGCTATTCTGTGATTCTATGATCATGCTTTCTAAAGAGACAGCTATCTGAATGTGGATTTTCAAATTTCATGGACTGAGAGGGTGAACAATGAAGAAGTATTAAAGAGATTGTATGAAGGTCAAGAAATTAGAAAAATACAGAGAACTCAGAAAACTATTAGTGCACTATTATTATTATAGAAACATAATGTAGCAATAATAATAATAATAATAATAATAATAATAATAATAATAATAGAAACTGTTATTGTACCCTGCCTTTCTTCCTCTTGCAAGGAACCCCAGGCTGCTTATAAGTTTTGCCTCCTCTCCACTGTATCACACAACAACAGCTCTGTGAGGTAGATTAGGCAGAGTGTGTATGACTTGTCCAAAGTCACTCCATGAGCTCCATAGCTGAATGAAAGCTAAAACTGGACCCCCAGACTAGTGCTTTAACTACTACACCACACCGGTTCCAGTCCCTGCTCAGCCTCAAGGCTTACTGGGTGACTTTGGGCCAGTCACAGAGTCTCACCTACCTCACAGGGTTGTTGTGGTGAGGATAAAATGGAGTGGAGGAGGTCTATATACGCCTGCTTTGATTCCTCACAGGAGGAAACATGGAAGAATATTTCTGTAATGTATTTATGATTAAAATAGGAAGGTGAAGTCGCTCTTAGTGAAAGAACCTCAATGAATTGTTGGGGATGGTATATATGAAACAGTTGGACTAGAAGTGTTGTGAGGATAAAGTAAGAATGAGAAGAGGAGAATTATGGAAGCTTTCTTGAATTCCTTGAAAGGAAAAAAGGTGAGATGTGAACATGATAACTACATTAACTTAAATATCTAAAGACTCTTTAACCATGATGAGGTCCAACCTCTTGTAGGAAAGGAACAACAACAAGAAGGGGTGAGTTTGGGCCAGCGACAGACTCTCAGCCTGACCTACCTTCCAGGGTTGTTGTTGTAGGGATAAGCATGAGAGCAGGAGGAGGAGAATGATGTAAGCCGCTTTGAGTTCCTTGTAAGGAAAAAGTGGGATATAAATCTAATAAACAAACAAATGTATAGATAAAAAGCAACCCTGGAAATGCTCATGGGGGAAGCAAACACGTTCTGCCTGTCTTCATGCCTACCTGTATTTCCTTTTAATCAAAGCAATGGTTGTTTCTGCTGTCAGATACACCTACGGGAAGCCAGTTGCTGGCACGGTGAACATCACGGTATGCCGGGAATTTTATAATTACTACCGAAGCCATTGTCACGGGTCTGAATCGCAGGCCGTGTGTGAAGATTTCAGTGCAAAGGTGAGTTCTGAGTGTGAGGCAAAGGCCTAGAGAAAGGAAGACCAAGGAGTGACTCCTTTGACCTAATCTAGACAGCCTTAATTCCCTGCTATATTCACATTCCCCTCCTCTGCAGTTCAGTTAGAGTTTACACCCGAGGTCCATGGGCAGGCCGGGCTTGTGCTGAGAGTTTCACCTTTTCAGTGCTGTCTAGCAGCACCTTTGGGAAGCTGGAAAAGCACTGTGGGTGCCACCACAAAAAAGCCCTTGCGGTAGATGCGGCTAGTCGTGCAAAAATGGCTGTGAACCCCTGGCTAGGCAAAAGCAAGCTGAAGGGACTGTGAGGACGTCTGCTGGTCTTGTTGAGTGGCTCTCAGGTCTGGATGTCGCAGCAATCCATCACCGGTTGAGCAATCCCTGGAACAAGCCATGACTCGGTTGAAAGTAAGCCATCCTGTGAGAAGCAGTCTAGGCTCAGGAAGCACAGCGCTGTGGCTAATGAGCTCTCGATGGGTTGCCAGGTTGTGTGGATCCAGTCAAATGGGGCCAATCTTTTTGCACAGCGTTTCCTTTTACAGTAAAGCCTTGAATTGCGAGTAACTTGGTCTGTGAGTGTTTTGCGAGCAAAAAGTGTTTCTGAATTTTAAATTGATCAACGAGCGATGTCTTGCAGTACGAGTGTCACGCGCGCTTTGCCTGCCGAGCGCCACATCACAACTGAGCGCTGGTTCTGGTCTCTCTTTCTGCGGGTGTGAGTACAGCATTGTCTTCTCCACCCCGAGCGTGCCCGCGATCGTGCCCGTCTCCCCCCCAGCGCCCCCACTTCAAATTTGTGCGATTAAAAAAAAAAGTTGCAGAATGGATTAACATTATTTACATTGAACCTGATGGGGAAATTCACTTTGATATACAAATGGATTGCAGGCATGTTTCCGGAACGAATTATGCTCGCAATCCAAGGCTTTACTGTATTTTGTTTTCCTGCAGCCCTGCAGGGCTCTCTGTAGAGGGAAAAGCTGCTGTTCAACCAACCACACATTTTGGCTCCCCGTGGGTGGGAGAGAGAACAATAAGACATTTACTGTTGCAACATTTATTGGAGAAAATACTCTGTAGTGTTTGATTTCCTTTTTTTCTTATGAGAGTTCCCAGGGCTCCCTGTGAAGAAGGAATATCTGTTAATCCCCTCCTTTTTAGCTTGCAGTGCAAACATGCCCTTAATTGCAAATACTCAGCGGAGCAGAAACTGCTCCCGCTGGGCTTTTGCATCCGTTCCTAGGGGTTTGGAGGGCCAGGCAAAAGCAAGACCCCCAGTCTTTTGAGTCCCTGGAGACAATGGGACAATTTGGACAACGTCATGGTGCTTTTGCAGAAGGGCTTCCATGGTGGGACATGGACAACCAGGAAACACTCATTTCCCAGGTGGCAAACTTGAGAGGCAAGGCAAAAAAACGAGCTTTAAAGCACAAAGCCTGGAAGGCAGTCTGGGAGAGCGACGCTCCATAGTGCTGCACACTGGCCTTCCAGTGAATGGATATATTTGCATATTGGAAGTTCACCCGGGGCATTCTCATTTCTGCATTTTGATTGTATTTTCTATTTTTGTACTTGTCCCCAAAGGCCAAATTATTGGCCCCAATAATTAACGTTATTGTAGTTTGATAATTTGTGAGCTGCCCAGAAACCTTCAGCTATTGGGTGGTATACAAATATCGTTAATACTAACAATAGCATTCTGTGTTTATAATTTTATATATTATTTAATGATTTTGATAATATGCACAATAAGAAGCAAGCCTTGTTTCTTCATTGCCATCTTTTCAGCAAGAGAAAAATACTTTTTTATTCACCAGACCATCTAGGAATTGCTGAATTAATATTTTATATTTTTAAGGAATTTTAATTTTTTTTAATCTCTGCTATGCCTGAGGTAATTTTCTCCATGGGTTTAGTTATCTGTCAGAATACATTGTGTTTTTGTGTTTTACCTTATGAATTTTTATTGTATGAACTTTTATTATACACATTTTATTGTTACATAATTGTTTGGATTATAAACTGCCCAGGGAATCCTGAAGGGCTAATGGAGCCATTGATAAATGTAAATAATAAATAAACCAATAAATAAAGTAAGTTAAATAAAAGTGAAGAGGTGCCGCAAGCAGAATGTGAGCAAGGCAAGAATGAGAAGAGGGACTGAGAAGTCCTCAGAAAGTCTCTTGCTGAAGAAACACTGCCTGAGGATGATTGGACCTGTAGTCTCATGTATTTGGAGGGCACCCTGATGGGGAATACTGCCAAAAAAGGATGTGGCTGGCAAAAACGTGTGCGTCTGCTCTTTGCTTCCTCCTGATGCAGGCCGACGTGCAGGGCTGCTTCTCTCAGGTGGTGAAAACGAAGGTGTTCCAGCTGAAGCGGGAGGGCTACCACATGAGCCTGAACGTGGAGAGCAAGGTCATCGAGACGGGCACAGGTCTGCTTCAGGGAGCAGAAGGATGGGGTGGGATGCAGAGGGAAGCAAGGCCAAGACTAGGCTGCACCCAAGGCTGTAGGAGCGCAAGGAAAGTTCTGAGGGACTTGGCTAAGTCCCCCTCCATGGGTCCCAGCTCAGGAGCTCCCTCTCATCGCCATCCTCCCCTCGCTCTTTGCTCCCCACTCTGCTTGCATTTCCTTACTTGACAGGCCGAGAGTCAGTGCTCGAGTTGGCCTTGGCGTCCGTTACTGTCATCACGACATCACATTGACGCGCAGCTGTTTGCCCTCTTGCAAGGGAAACCTTCCTACTCTCCGGTGTTCTTCTTTTTATTTTTTATTTCGATTTATTTTTTGATTTATATCCTGCCTTTTTCCTACAAAGGGCTCAAGGCAGCTTACATCATTCTCCTCCTCCATCTTATCCCCACAACAACCACCCTGTGAGGTAGGTTGGGCTGAGAGTCTGTGACTGGCCTAAAGTCACCCAGTTGGCTCCATGGCTGAGCGGGGACTAGAACCTGGATCACCTGAGCCCCAGTCCCACGCTCTTAGCCACTACACCACACTGGCTCTCCACTACACCCCACTGGTTTCTTGCAGCAAACCAATCCTCTCAGCCGATCCTGAGAGAGAGAGGTTGGGCCAAAGGTTCTCAGAGAGCTCCATGGCTGAGTGCAGACGAGAACCTGAATCTCCCAGGCCCCAGTCCAGAGCAATAAGCTCCCCTCCACAGTAGCTTTTCTACTTCTACTGCACCTCCTTCTCACCATCACCCCAGGCCAGAGGTGAGCATCAAGAGAAGGAGCAGGTTGCTGTGGCGAAGAGGCAGGACAGTTTCTTGCTGGTCAGTGTGGGTCTTCAGCTGGTTTCTGAGCATGCCTACCTTTGACACTGGCCCTGGTTGTGTCCAGGAAACTCTACCAGTCTAAGTAGGTAACTGTGGGATTGGATAGACCAGGGGTGGGGACCTTGCAGCCAGTGGGCCCAATCTGGGCTGTGGAGGTTTCCACTCTTGCTCGTGGAAGCTTGGGCTCCGTCTGCAGGTTCTGCCCCTCCCAAAGTCCCTGTCCCAGAAGCTGTAGGGTGAGGTGGGGAGAGGGTTCCCCACCGGGAATAACAGCACAGACTCCCTTCCTTGCTGCTCTCGAATACTCCCAGCTGGCATCGTCCTGAATTCCCGTGCACTGGAACACGCTCTGGGGAAACTTGCCCCTGGAAGGTCTGGAAAGGGGGGAAGGCTGCTCTGTTCATCCTGCTCGCACTAAATGGGCGTGTGCTCCCTTTGGCAGGGGTGGTAATGCAAGGCTCCGCGTCCACTCAGATTACCGCGACTCTCAGTACTGTCACCTTTGAGAAGATGGACAACTACTTCAGGCACGGGCTGCCCATCGTGGGCCAGGTAAGATGGGCCCTGTGATGTACCTCTCCATGGCTGGGTGTTGCCTTTCCCAGCATCCCCTGGATGCTCTGGAAGAGCCGTGCTTGAGGGTCTGGTCTCTCAGGCCCCCTGAGTCAAGCCTGTCTTTGCCCCAGGATGTCCGCCTTGCGGACCCTCCACTAGGCCGCTGCCCATGGAATGCCCCCTTCCCATGCAGCCCCCATCTCAGGGGAGCAGCCTCCGAACTGCAGGGCCCTGTCCTGAGGCCACCAGGTTCCCACTGCTGGCCACGCTCTCTTCCCTAGCCAGAGATCCTTGGCTGGCTTTCCACCTTTGCCGCGAACCACCTGCCTCCTGATCCGACGCCTTCTCCTGATGGGAAGAAGTGTATGTTAAAACAGGCCAGAGGGTTGGGGTATGTTGGCTCCATCCCATCTTCTTTTGCAGCTGCCCATCCTGGCAAAGCCTCTGCAGGAGCATCTCCAAAACAGAGTTTTGGAGGCCTTCAGGCTAAAAGATGCCCTCCACTCTCGTCCTATGGAAATGCCTGTATTGATAAAACTCGTGGTGGTGTGGGGGGTTGCTTTTGCATGTCTAGATACTCCTACAAGATGGCTCCAAACAGCCCATCAGCAACGCAACCGTTGAGATTCAAGCACCTGGATTCAAGGGCACCTACGTCACCGACGCAGAAGGACACGCACCGTTTTCCATAGACACAACAAATTTCACGGATGATTCTGTAACTCTCCAAGTGAGTATCTGGGGGAGGGGGGGACGGGGGGAGCTTGCAGCCCGCATGGGCAACGTGGTTCTGTCGGAAAATGCAGACCCATCCGCAGGTGCCCTTGGGACACTGGGGCGCTATTCTAGAAGGCCACGCTTGTCGTCTGCCAGTGTCATGAAGTGCCTGAATTTGGGGGCATTCGTGGTTTTCTTCTTTTCCACCAGGCAATCTACAAATCGGAGCAGCTGTGTAGTAACAGCTGGATCACTCCCCATCACCAGTGGGGCTATTACACACTTTCCCGCTTTTACTCACCGAGCGGAAGCTACCTCCAAGTGAATTCTGTTCCTGGGACATTGCGGTGCGGTCAAACCCAGTCAGTGCAAGTGACTTACGACCTGAGTGGAAGTGGCTCTTTGGGCAGAAAAGAGATTGCCTTTGTCTCTATGGTAAGCCCGAGTGCAGTGAACTTGGTGTATCAGTTGCAGGTGGATGAATGGTTCAGGTGATTTGGGGAGGGGTGGGCTGTGCTTTCGCCTAAGCATTCCCTCCAGCTGCACATGAAACTGGTGCTGCCCGGGGCATGAGACCCTCCTGAGATTTTTCCAGTGAGGGGAAAAATAAAAATAAAAACATGAAATGGTGGGAAACCAATGATTGGAGATATTGAGAGACAGAGAGGAAGGAACGAAGGGTGGGACAAAGGAAGATGGGGATAGGGTTACAAAGGAGAGGGGGACAAAGGAAGGAGAATGGAACAGAGAAACTTAGAAACAGAGCGAGTCAGAAGAGGCCTCCCGGGCCATCTAGTCTTGACCCCTGGTTCCAGCTGGCTCTGCTTACGACATGCCTCCCATGTGCATGGCTAGCCTGTCTTTGAACACCCTCACCGATGGGGCCTCAACCACCCCCCGTGGAAGCCCATTCCTTTCCCTCGGGGTCCTGACTGTCAGGAAGTGCTTCCTGGCATCCAAATTGAACCTTGGCTCCCTGAATGAGGATGCCCTGCAAGGGGTGGGTGAGATGATTTTCCCTCCGAAACTACTGCTGAGGACTGAGAAACTCTCCTCTGGTGTTAATTGTGGTGACATGTGTTTATCTTTTCGCAAGATGGTTGTTGTTACGATCTCCCATAATATATCAGCATTATCAGCAACGAATGCACAGTGTTCAAGCATGGAAGAGCAGAGGGGTCTTCTGTCTTTCCTAGCTACATCCTTTGTGATTTAAGGAACATGCCTGCCCTTCCCTCCCATAAGACCATTACATCCTATTATCTTTGAATTAATGGCCTGGTTTGTGTTTGGCGTATTCTAACATTACCGCCTTTGAATATTTTAACAGCAAACTGGATATGCCTGTTTGAAAGCCATACAATGTCACTGAGATGGGATTGGGTGTGCGCTTCAGAACAGTTCATACTCATCTTCCTACCAAGGTTCCTTATAGCCTGAAGTGTCTGATCCTGCTTAATCTTGGAATCTAGCAGGGTCACGCCTGGTTGAAATCTGGATGGGTGACTTACATGCTGGAAATGTCCCAGAGAGCTTTGGCCAGGGGCAGTATAGAAATGATGCTGATGCTCCTGCAGTAAAATACGTTGACTTTCAAACTCCAAACTGGTTTCAAGAACTGGAGTTTATTCCCTGTTGGGAGAAGGATTTCTAGAAATCTCTCACCCTCTGCAACAGACCAAATCCATGAAATATCCTGGAGAACTTGGAAGCACACCCACTCCTTTTCTTAGCATGCTTGGCTGTTCCTAATTGGTGTTGCCCAGCTGCGCATTTGTGTTTTCCTGGGCCATCACAAATTCTCTTTGCCTTTTAATCGCAGATTCATGAATGGGATTTTTAGCTTCTGATGTGTCTGCTAACAAGATCTTTTCTTCTTTTGTGCAGTACATGGTCAAGGGATTGCTTGTGCAAGCGGAGATCCACAATGAGTTCGCGACTCTCACTGCAAGTAAGTATTTTCTTGCGTACTCCCAATCTCTCAATTCGTTCTGCACAACTAGCATGCTGACAGCTGAAACTGGGGTCTCTCCATGAGTAGAAGGTTGTTATTCAGCCTTGGGGTGTTCAAAACCCTCCTCTGTGGGTGGATGCATGAATGAAGTCACTTTATGCTGTGGGTAGATGGTTCTCTCTCAGTCTACAAACACCTCCCCTCTCACTTTTCCACGTGCACACAGATGAAGAAGAGATCTTCCTTTTTTGTGCTGCTGGCACATAAAAGCATATGAGGAGTCCTACTGGATCAACGGGCCATCTAGTTCAGCGTTCTGGCCAACCAGTGGCCAACCAGTTGCCCATGGGAAAAACATGCAGGGCAACTACACCATCCCTATGATGTCCAGCAGTTGCCACTATCCAGACTAGTAGCCATGGATAGCCTTCTCCTCCAGGAACTTCTCCAGTCCCTTTTTGAAGCCATCCAAATTGGTGGCCATCAGCACTTCCCGTGGCAGGAAATTCCACAGACTGTCTATGTACTGTGGGAAGAAGTCCTGAATCTTCCACTGATGACTTCCATGGCATGGCCTGGGGCTCTAGCATTATGAACCAGAAATGGGAAAGACCTTTATTTATCCATTTACATGTATTTATAGGTTGCCTATAATAGTCAAGGCCTTCCTAGGCAGCTTAAAGTGCATAAAACTTATTAAACTATTAATTTTAATGTGCTTTACTCTGTTTAATATGTTTAAAACATAATGAATTAAACATCTATAAAAGCAATTAAAAAGGGACACAGCGAACAGGCTAAATGTTAAAAAAAATCCTAAAAGATATGTCTTTGCCTGGTGCTGAAAGGAAAATAGAGATGGCGCCAGGTGAATTTCCCTAGGGAGGGAGTGCCAGAGATGGGGAGCAGCAGCAGAAAAGGCCCTTCGCCTTTTTGCCACACCTCTCATCTCCGTGAGGGGTGATTCTCATAGACGGGCTTCCTGAGCTGATCTAAGTGGGATGGGTAGGTATATATGGGTGCAGACGGTCCTTTAGATAGCCGGGCCCCAAGCCTTTAGGGCTTTATATGTCAATACCAGCACATTGAATTGGGCCTGGACCACAACTAGTAGCCAGTGAAATTCTTTCAGCACTGGTGTTCTATGGGCCAGTCTGGCAGTACCAGTTACCAGCTGAGCTGCCCGATTCTGCACCAATTACAATTGCCGGACTGTCTTCAAGGGCAGCCCCACATAGAGCACATTACAAAACTCTATTTTGGAAGTTATCAGAGCATGGGCAACTATCTTCAGGTTCCCACTGTCTAGGTAGGGGCGGAGCTGGAAAATCCGCCACAGCTGGAAAAAGGCATTCCTAGACACTGAGTCCACCTGATAATCCAGGGAAAGACCAGGATCCAGGAGCTCCCCCAGACTGCGGACCCTGTCCTTTAGGGGGGGTGTGGCTCCGTCCAGGACAGGGTAATGCCCTCGTAACCTATCAGAGGTCCCCCCCTGCCAATAGTACCTCCGTCTTCCCAGGATTAAGTCTCAGTTTACTGACCCTCATCCAGTCCATTATCGAGCTCAGGCACTGGCTCAGGACGGCAACAGCCTTGCCTAGATTAGAGGAGAAGGAGAGGTAGAGCTGAGTGTCATCAGCATATTGCTGACTCCTCAGCCCAAGCCTCCGAATGGCCCCTCCCAGCGGTTCCATGTAGATATTGAACAGCACTGTGGACACTACAGAGCCCTGTGAAACCCCATGAAATGCCTCCTCGCCACTGTCTCCACACCATGCCGAATCCAAGGCACTTCTTCCATGTCCTCACCCACATTATTTTTCTTTCTAAGCCAACAGTGCCATCTATTGGGAGATGGAAGGCAAGAACAGGGCCTGCCATACCACTAGGCCGGGGATGGGGGACATGTGACCCTCCAGAGGTTGTCACACTCTCAGTACACAGAGAGAACCGGTGTGATGCAGTGGTCAAAGTACAGGGCCGGGATTCAGGAGATCCTGGTTCTAGTCTCTGTCTGGCAATGCAGCTGATGGGAGTTCCAGCTGTAGGCACTCCCCATCCACATCCCGGACCTGTCTGTGCTGAGAGCCAGTGTGGCGTCGTGGATAAGAGCGTGGGACCGGGACTCAGGAGATCCGGGTTCGAATCCCCACTCGGCCATGGAGCCAACTGGGTGACTTTGGGCCAGTCACAGACTCTCAGCCCAACCTACCTCACAGGGTTGTTGTTGTGGGGATAAGATGGAGGAGGAGAATGATGTAAGCTGCCTTGAGCCCTTTGTAGGAGAAAGGCAGGATATAAATCGGAAAATAAATAAATAAATCAATAAATCAATAAAATTTCCAGGGCCACCTTAGCACAGATGCCCTCCTCTGGGGAAGGACCCCTCAAGGCCAGGCATTTGGGCCCAGTGGGCTCTCTGGAGAGCTGTACCAGCTGCCCCTCTGATGAAGTCAGTTGCCTTCTCAGAGAAACCCTCGGCCTCCTGCCTGGCTCTGAGAAGGCCTTAAGTGACGTATGGGGCAGTGACTGTGCCAGATGCTTCCCTGGTACAGACCTTGCCCCCAGTGGGTGGTGTGGTTTTCCAGAGGCCGTCTTTTGTATGCCGAGAGGTCCTCAAAGTGAAGCACGGGGCAATGGCAAGGACCAGGACCCTGCTGGCACTAGGGGGTATACACGATCCACTGCCCTTCTGGAAATGCCACCAGAAGCAGGAGATTCCTCTCACTTTACAGGGTGGGCCAGCCTTTAGTGCTGGCTTATGCATTGCCTCAGGCCAAAGACGTGTCTTGGAAGAACCCTGGATTAGAAGGAGAGACCGCGGTATTCGGAGAAAGTGGCACAGCTAACCTGATTCCTCCTTGGCTATTTTTGTTGTCAACTTGGAAGGTGGCAACAATGGGGAGGGCTTTCCTTGGGGTGGTCCCCGTTATGGAGCGGCCTCCTCACTGCAGCCCAGCTGGCACCAAGCTTTGCCTCTTTTCGGCTCCATGTTAAGACAGCACTTTATGCTGAAGCCTTTAAGAATTGATTTAACTTTGGCAAAGGGGTGGTGTGGAAATGGAGATCAGAACAGCAGCAACTGCCATCTGCAGCTGAAGCTCAACCCCAAACAGCACCCTGGGGTGGAATCCCAACCATCTTTCCCACCTGCCTCTCTTTCTGAGCGAATGTCTTTATCTAGAACTCAGATGAACTCGGGTGAATGTCTTTATCTAGGCCACAGACTACAAGGAAAGTTTACTTTGGAGTTGAACGTGAGCTTCAATATGGCTCCCATGGTCCGTGTGCTTGTATACACTATTCTTCCCAGTGGAGAACTTGTGGCTCACTCGGTGGATTTCACCGTTGATAACTGCTTTGAGAACCAGGTAAGGAGGTCTGGGCATGCTCAGGACCGTTGCTGAAAGAGGGAGGTAGAGTTACATGGGATGTGTAAAGAGCCAGCTGCCTGGGTTCCGGCCTGCTTTCTTGCAGCCCTTAGTTGGTGCTGAGTGGGCCTTGCATTGGCGTGGGCCTCTGCCAGGAATTAGCTCCACATGGCGTCCCTCTTCTGTGTGCAGACTTGGGATACACTACACGTACTCTGGAGGAGGGTTGCTGGGTTACATAAGAGAATTGCTGCCGGCATCGACTTCTTCTTGGATCAGCTCGCTTCCTAAGCCAGGGCCGAGCACAAGAACGGGCTGACAAAGAGAAGCAAGCTGGTTTCTGCGTGATCATCACGACCCTAGCGGTCATCTTGGCCTGGATTTTGAAAACCCTGGCTGGGGTGAAGCTGGTGAATTTGAGCATTGGGGACAAGGCAGATGTGATGGGTTCGGATATTTTATTTATTTATAAAATCCGTATGCCATCCATTACTTCCGTCTCTGGACGGCTTACAACATTAATCAGAATAAAATAAATTAACTAAACTAATTATTCCATGCTGGCTGAAAATCCAGTAAAATACAAACAATAAACTCCAATTAATACATATTAAAATATTGATCGAATGAAAAGTCCTTGACCTGGCTCCGAAAAACATATAATGACGGTGCCAGTGGACCTCTCTAGGGAGCACATTCCATAGTTGGGGCGCCAGCTCAGAGAAGGCTCTCCTCTGGGTACTCTGTCTCCTAATGTCTTTCACAGAGGGTTCCCGGAGGAGGGCTTCTCCTGCCGATCTCAGGATATGAGGATTGTGTGTTTGGGAATGGATGGGATTAGAGCCAAAGGATAAGCCGGAATGGGGAATGTTTGGTCTTCCAGTTTTGGTTGGAGTACAGCTCCCATCAGCCCTAGCCAACTTCCCTAGTGGCCAGAGAAGACAGCAAGGATGCTTTTTCAGTCTACAGGCTGCCCTATCACTGAAGTTTTCAGGATGAAACAATATAACCAAGCATGAAAACCCAACATAAAGCACATTCAATGTCACCTGAAACTCAGAAGAAAAGATTCTGCATTTGTAAGAAATAAATAACTGAGCAGCTGAAAACAGAGAAGGCATTTCAAGAAGCAGCAATACACATATTAAAAATAAAGCAAGCGGCAGTTTAAAAGGCCTGGGAAAATGTATTTGCCTGGTGCTGAAAATTTGACAAAGGAACTCCAGGTGGGCCTGTCCAGGGTGGTCATTCCTGCATGTGGATGATTCCACCTTTTGCATCTTGGTCCCAGATTTCCCATCCATGATGGGAAGGATGAGAGCAGAATTCCAGTGGATTGAAGGGCTGAAGAAACTGAAGGTTTAACAACTTGTACACAGTGTTTTAGAGTCCTCCTTTGATTCTGATCCTCTCAGAAAAGGGTTCAGGGGTCACACTTCAGTAAGAATGTGTGAAGAATCCCTCTCGTGTCTAGGAATCCATTGAATTTATGAGCTCGAGTCCAGATTCTGGGACTTGAATTCTGGACGGCCTAATTCTGAATTCCAGGTTGACTGAACCCAGCATTTACGTGGTGCTGCCCAGGAACTGAGACCCAAGTAACTTTCCTCTTCTGAGCCATGCACAGCCGACTTTGCTTGTGCTGCTGCATGTGATACGGAAGAAGGTTGCTGGTTGCGGTGGAAAAGTTCTCTTGGGCATGGGTGTTGCTGTTTCGCTGCATAAATGATGGGGTAGGATGAACTCTTTTGGAATCTGTCCCTCCAGAATCTGTGGGTTTCCTCTCATGCTCAGCCTGCTCTTGCACAGCAAGCCGAGCCAAGAGGAAGTTGCGAATGCTCGTGGAGCCGAGGTGCATAACCAGCAACCTTCCCCATCAGGAGTGGCTGCAGGATGTGAAAGAGGGGACAGATTTTTTATTATTATTATTATTATTATTATTATTATTATTATTAAAATATTTCTATGCCGCCCCTTGCCGAAGCCTCGGGGTGGCTTACAACACAATTTTCCACCCAAAACGGATTCCATGCACTTCCCTTCTGAACGATGCTCAGATTAAACTCTGCAATCCGTCTTTCAGGCAACTTTGCTGCTTTAATCAGTGAATTCTTTCTTGGCTGGTGGGCAGCTGCAGAGGGGAACCCAAACTTAGCAAATGGATCTCTAGAAGGACTCTTGGATGAAGTTCTGCTGGGGAATGAACTTGTCAACACTCCTTCCTTTTTACAGGTGAAACTGAAGTTCCAGGATCGTGAAGTTGTTCCTGGTAGCAAGACAACCCTCCGTCTTTCAGCTGCCAAACCCTCCCTCTGTGCCATCAAAGCGATCGATGAGAGTGTCTTTCTCCTGAAGCCCGAAGCTGAGCTCTCACCTCAGTCTGTGAGTTGAGGTTCTTCATGATGTTTTCAGAGCAGGTTCCCACTGTTCTTTCCCGGGGAAGTCCTCCAAATCGCTCTCTCTCTTACACACACACACAGTGGAATCTCCCAATAGAGAAAGACTTCTTCCCAACATGATCCCTCGCAAGCTAAGAATTACTCTAGTGATGTGCTGAATTCTTTAGGTGAGGAGATGGCAAAACATCAAGGGCAGGCCCTGGCCAGGGCCCAAACCCCGGAAGGGTCCCCTGACAAGAGCCTCCTGGAGTTGTTCGTCTTCAGCACTGCCTCTCATTCTGGCCCAGGCAATGGTGATGGCGAGGCAGAGGAACAGCAGGTGCCATGGTCTTCCTGCCCTCTGGTTCTCTGCTGGTCAAGCCATGGTGAGAAAGAGGAGATGGAACCAGAGCAGCTGGTGACATCTGGTGGCAAGAAGGTGGATGGAGCTGATGGGCAGCCTTTTGGGGTGTCTTGCCCAAACAGCTGACCCTGAACAGAACAAACATTTTGCAGAGTTCTGTGCAAGGAATGGAGGACAGCCTTAGAGGGGTGGAACCTTTCTCATGCTCTGGTAGATAAGTCGGTGAGGGTATTCCCTCCAAAGAGGAGTAACCCCAGCCAGATATTTTGCCGCCCAGCTCCAGAGCAGATGATGTCAAGCGAGTTTCTTTCACTTACCTCATATCCCTTTTCTCTATAACAAAACTTCTTGTCCTAACTTCTGCTTTTTACTCTTCTTGGTTAGTTTTCCTCTAAAAGATATACTTACATCCATTCTGAGGAGAAAATTTTTGAGGGAAAATTCCAAGGAGGAAAGAGGTAACTGTTCTGAGGGGAGGAATGTTCCTTTCTTGAGCAGTGCTTTTTTTGTAAGAAAAATGTGCCGGAACTCATGAAATTATTTACCTTTTGCATGTAGTCAGTCACTGTACACACACCCATACACATCAGTTGTGTAACGAAACATAACGGTCACCGCCTGCAGTAAGCACTCAGCGCGCGACCACACGACCAATCACAAGCCGAGCAGCACCACAAGCCAAGCAGCACCATCACAACCAGTGCGGACAAAGTACGCATGCCTCAGATTCGACACACAAGTAGCCCGCATGCACCGTTTTAATGATTTTGCCACCAACCTCCTACGCTTGACAGGGCGTTTCAAATCCACATGGACCAAACATCAAATTTTCAAAAGTTACTTTTAAAACTTGGAAAATCTGTCAAAAAAAGGTGCCAGAACTCTGTTCCGGTGTGTTCTATGACAAAAAAAGCACTGCTCTCGAGTATCCTACCTGTTCTGGCAATACCGTGATCTCAGTCTGAGGCAATGTGAAAACTTCTGGGTGAAACAAACCACTCAAAACTGGGAAATCCAGCTCAAGAGGGCCTCAGAAAAGCTGACCAGGGGGTTTCTGTTCTCTCATTAGGTGCTTCCCTCTTCACAGTCTGAATGGTCTGATCTTTTCTGGTCTACCAAAGTCTTGTAACAGCATCTGGAATGGATTTTACAAGTCCTTCCAGGCGAATTCATGGGGCCTGCGTCACCATGAGAGCTGACAAGGTTTGGGCGCATTGGCCACAAAATGGGAGCATTTTAGACTATCCTGAATTGCTGACTTTGTTGTTTACAGATATTCAATTTGCTCCCTGTGACATCCCTCAGAGGCTATTATCATGATGGCTACTCTCTGGAGGAAACAGATGTTAATCCTTGTATACCTGCAAGGACGATTATTGTAGATGGCATCCGCTACCAAGCTGTGTCTTTTGGGTATAATGTGGGCGACACCTATGAGATCCTCAAGGTGAGCACCAAAGGGTCCCAGCATTTGTCATGAGCAGAATGCATGTTGGCGCCCCATTGTGTGTTGGTGTGTGTGGATGTATTGGGAAGTCGAACATTGTAGGGATCCTGCGTCCATGGAGGTCCCCAGTATCAGGGGTAACTGCATTTGGTTAAAACAATGCAGATAACAAAACTGATTAGTGAAAACCTCTTTGGGGACATGGAACTGCAGTTCATGGCAGCCCATTTGATCCCAAGAAGGGCTGTCAAGCCCCCTATACTCTTGGACAGAGGGCCCTAATGTAGTGTTCATGTAGGTGTCCTGATTGAATTTTTATATCTATCTATCTATCTATCTATCTATCTATCTGTTTATTATTTATTTATTTGGAGTTTTTATATGCCGTCCCATCGCTTAACACCTCGGGACGGCTTACATAAATAAACATAAATAGACAACATAATGCCCAATACAAATACAAAAAATATAAATTACACAAATTAAAACCCCCGATTCATTCTGACTGGAAATTAAAACCTGTAGATAATATTAAACATTGTTAAAATATTGTTTAAATAATAAGGTCTTGGCTTGGTGCCGAAAAACAAATAACGATGGCACCAGGTGGACCTCTCTGGGGAGCGCATTCCATAGGTGGGGCGCCACCGCAGAGAAAGCCCTCCTCCGGGTACTCACCCTCCTAGTATCTCTCACGGAGGATTCCCGGAGAAGGGCCTCTGCTGCTGTTCTCAAGGGGCAGGAGGGCAAATATGGAAGCAGGAAGCAGCACGCATATATATGTGTGTGTTTAGTATAGTTAGATGGATTGGAGTGAAATGCATACAACATCTAATAATATACAGTTCAAGGAATGCAGATCAGACATCCAAACAAGTATCCGTTTGAAGTTGATATCATTAGGCCAGCTGTTCCTGTATTGAGAGCACTGTAAGATTGTCAATCCATTACATTCTGGGTGTTTATCCTTCCAATTTTGTAATATCAGTCTTCTAGCTGTCAAAAGAGTGTAGAGGATCCCTTTTCATCCACACTTCCACTAGTTAATTCTCGTGAAGCAGGTGAATAATTTAAAAGAGCCTGCGCAGCAGCAGATATGGAAGCCTGTTCCAATACAAAGTTTATCTGTATAATAACCTACTCCCCAAAGGTAATTAATTCCTGGACATTGCCAAAACATGTTTAAAAGAAGCCTTGGCTGCATTGTACCTCCAACAATCTGCCAAATTATTATTATTATTATTATTATTATTATTATTATTATTATTATTATTATAACATTTCTATGCCACCCCTTGCTGAAGCCTCGGGGCGGCTTACAACACAATAAAATACATTGAAATACAATAGAACATAATAAATTACCATTAAATACAAAAATACAAAAAATACACTGAGTTACGAACATAATAATATCAAATTAAAATTATCAGTATAAAATAAGTAAATAAAGAATATAGGAGGAGAAAAGAGAAGGAAGAAGAAAGTTGCCCTGACCAGATCATATATTTTAACCATTAAAATGATGTTTAAATAAAAAGGTCTTTACCTGGCGCCGAAAAACCAGTAACGACGGTGCCAGGTGGACCTCTTTGGGGAGTGAATTCCATAGGTTGGGCACCACCACAGAGAAAGCCCATCTCGTATTACAGGGACATTGTGGAGTTGAGTAAATGTGTTTTTGTTGAGTAAAATGCAGCCTAAATTCTGTAGATGTAACCACAGCCTAAGAATATGCAGATAAGGCGTTTATGGGTGTGTCACACGGTAGTGTCTCAAATTCCCAGGTGTGTCCATGGATCCCAAAGGGTTACAGTGGGTGGGGCTGCAAGCAGAAAGGGGCAGGAACAAAGGCATTGGGGCCAAAATCTCCCCACATCTCCCCCAAACCCAAGGACAGCACTCTGCAGGGTCCTGAGAAGTTGTCACAAAGAGGACGGGCAGGATCTCTTCTTGATCGTCCCAGAGTGCAGGACACGAAATAACAGGCCCGGGTGACAGGAAGCCAGGTCCTGGAGGAACATCAGGAAGAATTTCCTGGCTCTTAGAGCTGTATGACAGTGGGACCCAGGACCTGGGAAGGTGGTGGGCTCTCCCTCACTGGAGACATTGAAGAGGCAGCTGGATGGCCACCTGTCAGGGATGCTTGAACCTGGAGTCCTGGACCTGATGGCCTTCTTGGCCTCTCCCAACTCTACTGTTCAAGGATTCTGCAAGACTTAGCATCCCAAAGTACCGCCAAAGTTGCCTCCCCACATCCACCCTGCTGACCTCCACATTGGTTTTCTGCTTCTAAGACTCTCCCACTGACTCATTTGCATATTTTACAGGAATTCGGCGTGAAAGTTTTTACCAGCACTAAAATACACAAGCCTAATATTTGTCCAGTTCCCATGCCTATGCCAGCAGCCATGGATTATGGTGAGAACTGGAAGTGGTCGGATGATGGTGGAAACCTGTTTTTGGCCTTGAATGCTCTGAAAAAGCACAGCAAACTTTCTGTACCCCACCCCTCACCCCGGCTTTCTATTATGGACTTGCAGTGGTACTGATCTTCCTCTGAGTAAATAGCTTTAAGAGGGGCCATCAGTTAAAATAATTACCATCATGCTCCTGGTGGGAGGAGTTTCTGAGCCACCTCCAGTGCTCCCTCTGCCCGCCTTTGCGCCGTTTGTATGAACGGTCACCAAGATTTTGCCTCAAGGAAAACTCAGAATGGATTTTTCTTATGACTTTATTGCATCGCCACCTTCTTGCATTTATCATCCGCCTTTTTCCCCTCTTGTGAGGATCCCAAGGTGGCTTGCATTGCTCCATTTCACCCTCAAAAGAACTGTCACGTGAGGTAGCTTAGGCTGAGGGGGAGTGATAGGCCGAAAGTCCCCCAAGTAGCTTCATGGCTGAGCAGGGACTGAAACCTGGTTCTTCCAGGTTCCCAGTCCAATATCCTGACCATGACACCGCACTGGCTCCTTCTATAATATGGAAGGCTCTGGCTCCTCTTCCTCCTCTCCCTCACTGGGGATCCTCATCTGCCTGACAGGCAGACAGCCAGTGAGCAAGCAGGCAGGGCACCTCCTCTTCCCCCTTCTCTCTACCATGGTTGTCTGGGCCAGAGCGTGTGGCTGGTGGGCAACCAGGTGACAGCAGTGAAGAGGGAATGCAATTCCAGGGGGCACCTGCTGGCGGCCCCCTGTTGGGGTGTCAGCCCTTGGCAGGCTCCCAGGAATCCCGCCATTGAAGCCAGCCATGGTGATCGTGTGTTTTAGGGACGGGGCGGGTGGGGAACAGTGGGGATGATGGGAAGTAGGAACAGGGCTGAGCCTTGAGGACAGTGCTTGAGGCCTGTTCTCTGGAGTGGCAAATTGCTGTGCGAACCCCAGAGGTGCCACGAAGACGGTGATGTGAGCACTTCAGCCACCCAGGGATGAGAAGCAGGCGTGAGCCAGCCGTTCCATGGGCTGGAGTGGGGAGTTGGTGTTGGCCGGGGGGGCTGGAAAAAGCCTGTGGGAAGGCATCCCTGTGCAGTCTCTTCCACACCAGACCCCTCCCCTTCCCACAACCATCCTCCCCACTTTTCCATTCTCCGTGAAGAGAGAGTGAGGGACCTCCACGAGAAAGAGGCAGGGGCTCACAGGCGTTTGTCCAGGCCAGTCCTGTCAGCTCCTCGCAAGTCAGGTGCTTCCACGTGCTGCTGGCAGCCCAGCTGGGGAGGGGCGGGGGGAGAAGCCCACAGGGGGCCAGTCCATTCTCGGGACTGGAGATCACTGGGGGCGCTCTCTCCTCCCAGGGGCAGGGCTTCGGGGAAGGGCAGGGCCCATGGGGGGTTCCCAACCTAGATTGGGACCACAGGCCAAGGTTCCCTGCCCTTGCGGCAAGCCCCCGAGGGAGGTGAAGCTGGGCCTGCTGCTCTGAGCAGTGGTGTGGGGTGCATCTTGGTAGAAATTAATCGCACGTTCCCTCCTTGGTTACGTAGTTGGCTACAGAGAAAACATTGGTGCCCTAGGGACCGCAGGCACCTTCCACCGATCCAGTGCAGCTCCTCCTCCTCCTCCTCCTGAGAGTGGGCCGCAGGAAACTGTCAGGAGCGAATTCCCAGAGACATGGCTGTGGCATTTGTTTGAAATAGCGTAAGTGGTGGTTTTAAAAGGGGAGTGGACAAATTCCTGGAGGAGGCCCTCTTTGGCTACTAGTCCTCATGGCCATTCCATTATTACGTGCATAGCTCTCCTTTCTTCCTCTTGCTAGGAATCCAAGGTGGCTTCTAAAGGCCTCCTCCCCTCAAGTTTACCCTCATAACACCCATGTAAGGTAGGCTAAGCTGAGAGTCTGACTGGCCCAAAGTCACCCACCATGCCTGTGCACACCCATTGCTGGGGAACATGGGTGGGAGGTTTATCTATTAAAATTTTTTGTATACAGTGGTACCTTGGCTCACAAACTTAATCCGTTCCACGACTGGTCGTGACCCAAATCGGTCGTGAGCCAAGTCAGATTTCCCTATACGGTTCAATGTAAATAAGGTTAATGCATTCTGTAACCATTTTTTAATCACAAAAATTTGAAACAAAGTGACAAAGAACAACAAAGTAGCAAAGAACAACAAAGATCATGGCCATCTCCCCCCCGCCCCCCCCCCCCCGAGCACGACTGCGATGCATGATGCGGAGTTTGTGACCTGAGGCAAAATTGATCTGAAATTTCTCTTTGCAACCTGATTTGGTCATGAACTGAGGCATTTGTGAGCCGAGGTACCACTGTACTGTTCTCTCAGCACATCGCTCTAGGAACAACTTGCAAACGGTTATAAACATTAAACAACATAACAATTATCCATAAAATCCATACAAAAACAGAAGAACAGAAGAAAATGAATTAGCATAACAAAGAATAAAAGAATAACATATTGAACCAGAGCAAGCAATCATTTTCAATAAAAACCAGTATTTAAACACACCCCTAATCAGAGGTTAAAATAATGGGAGAATAAAAGGGTTTTGATCTGGTTTCACGATGATGATGATGTAGCGGGAAATAGGAAGACTGTGGAGGGTTGCCTCTCACCCTTTCTTCCTCTGCGTCTTGCAGGGATCCAGAACAAAAGGGGGCTGCCACCACCAAAGGACAGCGCCCTGTGTCTATACCTTCAGATGGTGTTGCAGGACATCTTGATATCCCCGTGACGGCTCCGGACACCATCACGAAATGGAAGACTGATGCTTTCTGTATGTCGACCAGTTCGGGCATTGGCCTGGCCTCGTCTGCTTACCTCACCGTTTTCCAGCCGTTCTTCCTTGATCCCATCATACCTTACTCTGTGGTGAGGGATGAGACATTTGATATGAAAATCCCCATCTACAATTACCGGAAAGATTGCATGAGGGTGAGCATCGCTCCCAGTCGGTAAAATCTACCTACTCTGTCTCTCCATTTCCTAGCACTTGGGCTGTTGAGTTAAGGGCTCTTTAGTGGCCCAGGATTCAAAGCCTGGCACCAACCTCTTTAACTCCTTTCTCTTCTTGAAAGCAAGCATTTCTCAGTTGCTTTTCAGGGCAAGGGCCGTCCCAATTTGTGTGGGTTCCTGAGGTTAGGGGCTGGGGTGGTGTGTGTGTGGGGGGGGTTGCCTGTTTTTCCTTTGGAAAAAGTGCAGAACAGTACAGCAGGTGCAAAATTCAGCTTCCTGAGAATCTTAGTTTATTGCTTGTTTCTCCACACCCATTTTTAACCCGTCAGCCACAAAGTTTAAGTTCCTAGTCCTTGTGGCTTTGAAAGTGTGTGGGAAGTACTATGTGAAGTCTGAGACACCATGAAGAGGCTGGGATGCTAAATAAGATGGTCTTTATATGACATCCTCTTCTGTGCCTCATTTCTTCAGAGCAAATCCAGAAAAAGACCTTCCATTAAAAAAAATGCAGTATAAAAAGATAGGCAGATTTAGATAAATTGCATCACCTTTTGTGATTTGCAGTATTATGTCTACTGACTGGAGATTTCTGTTTCTTTCAGTGTAGATTTTTTGTTGGCATTCAGGCCGTCTGAGTGACTGTGTCCCCCCTGCTCCTTTCTACAGGCATAGCCAGCCTGTGCAGAGATGAACTAAGAATCTAGCGGCCCTTTTTAAAAACCTGCCAGCTTATTCTGCCCTCGATTTTTGTGTATTCATGCCAATATGGGGGGAGGGTTTATTTATTTATTTATTTAAACATTTCTATGCCGCCCCTTGCCGAAGCCTCGGGGCGGCTCACAGCATAGAATAAAATACAATAAAATACAATATAACAATATAACAATATAAAACCAACAATATAAAATAAATAACAATATAAAAGAAGTCGCCCTGGTTGCCATCTGCCCCTGAGAACCCTGTGGGCCCAGGATCCGTCCTCCTCAACAACCCTTCTCATTGTGCTCAGAGTGGGGGCTTGACCTTGTTGGAGAAGACCATGTCTCCTTTGCTCTGACCAATACAGGGTTAGCAAGAAAAACAAATTATGTTTATGCTGCTGCAGTAGACACTTCTCCTAGATTAGCAAAGGACAGGGAAGCAGGCTAGAAATGCACATGGTGGGCATGTCATGAGTGGAGCCGACTGGAGCTGGGGGTCAGACTAGATGACCCAGGAGGACCCTTCTGACTTGCTCTATGTTTCTATGTAATTGGGCCATGGATGAGCCTTTGAGCTACATGTTGAAAGGGTCACCCTTAGATAAGGTATGAACAGAGGGAGGAAAATTCCCAGCCTCAAGAAGGGAAGGGGCCCATGAGAAAGTTGTCGGAGGATGAAGTAAATTATACAAGCTTTGTCTAATTGTGCTCAGCACAGTCCCAGGAGTTCTGCCTCCCACACATCAAATTCGGATGTATTCTTAATAAACGTTGCTGGCTTGATTTTTCCCAACGGAAGTAGTTGGACCCACTTCTTGCAGGACCTGACAACCTACTCCCAGGGTAGGCATGGTTGGCAGATGTCCAAGTCCCACACCCCAGCAGGGCCTACCAACACGTGGCCCCCGGAGTCCCTTCTAACAATTTGGTTCACCCACCTCTCACTCTGGTCCCGACCATGGAAGTGGGAAGAGCAGGGGATGCTCTTTGCTCCGAGATGCCGGCCACAAAAGCAAGCACCGGATGATGCAAACGAGGATGAGGAGAAGCACAACTGCGGCCATGGGGCCGAGGGGACAGACTCCCTCTGGGCCCGACAGCCCCTCCAGAACCCAGGCAGAGTACTGCCTCCCCCTCCTTTCCTTCCCCTTCAGAGTGACTGAGCAGCTGTTTTGTTTCTGCACAGATCCGTGTGACCCTGGCTCCCTCTGAGCACTTCGATGCCGTCCCCTTGGAACAGGAAGACTCTTTTTGCCTGTGTGCCAACAAACAGAAAACCGTCACCTTCAAAGTCACCCCCAAGGCTCTGGGTAAGCGACTGCGCTCATTCGCATCTGGCTCCCATCTCCCATCTCTGACTCTGAAAAGGCCCGGGCTGACCCACTGTGCTTCAAGAAGAAGACCAGGGAGGGAGACAGGGGTGGTCTGAAGTCAAAGATGCGCCCTTTAGCCTGTCTCAGGTCCCTTGAATTGTTTAGGGTGGGTTGCAAAACAAAACCCAAGCCCCACATTGAAGAGGGGAAAAAACAAGACTAAAATACCTGGGCAGGGTGGGGAGGTTGGATAAGATTCATAAAGACCCAGCACTGTCCGGATTGTTGGGAAGACGGACAAGTGGGTCCTGGATCAAATCAAGCTGGAGCTTTTCTTAGAAGCAAAAATGCCGAAATTGGGGCCATCATGCTTTGGGCACATCATGAGGAGGCGAGACTCACTGGAGAAGACAGTCATGCTAGAGAAAGTCGAAGGCAGAATGTAAAAGGGAAGACCAGGCAGGAGACGGATTCGGATGGAATCCACAAGGAAGCCGCTGTTGTGAGTTACGACTCACAGTGTAAACAAGCAATAAAACTAAAGTCTTTTATTACTACTTATCTACAAGATTTACAACGCTGCAGATAAGCTCTACTGCAATGGTCTTTACAAGGCAGTTGCTAATTCCTTAGTGACTTCTCTTAGGGATTAGCTTTCTTGGCCCCACCTTTCCCCCCTGAGGCGGGACAAAGTTTCCTTTTGTTCCAACCTGTGTAAAGAACTCTAAGGGTTGCTCGCGGGATAAATCTGCTCCACCTCCTGTGTCTCCTGTGTCATGCTCAGGAGGTTCAAGTCAGGAGGAAGGGGGGCCGTCTGCCCAGGCTCTCCAAGAGCAGGGCTGTAGTGTCTTTGCCCTCGGGGCCCGTTGGTCTGATACTGGCTGGGCTGTTTGCTCAATGGGTTAAGGGTCAGGATGGGGTATGACTATCTGTTCAGTCATTCCCCAGCCAGGTTGTGGAAGGGATATTTGGCCACAGGGTCTTAAGCATAATCCTCCTCACGAGGTGCTGCCTCTGTCGGGGCATCAGGCACGACAGCCAAGCCTTGGACTTGGGAGAGCTGAATGGGGCTGTGAGGGGCGGGACACTTCCGAGGCACTTCATTCATGGGTCACCCCAAGTCAGATATGGGCTCATAACCTTAACACAAAGCGACAAGCACACACACTTGGTCCTGAGGCACACTGGGGACTTTGGGTCAGTCCGTGTCTCACAGCATTGTTCTTGTGAGTAAAATGGAGAGACGCTCCGTGTAAGCTTGGCTGGGTCCCTTGCAAGGAAAAAAAAGGCAGGGTGGAAAGATTACTAGCCAAATAAAGTGCATTTATTTATTTAGGAAATTTATAGGCCGTCCATTACTGTTGTCTCTGGATGGCTTACATTATATTATAAATCCTAAACAAAATAAATTGTCTACACCATGACTGAGTATAAAGTGACATGGTTAAAATAAATTACATGAATAAATATGCAATTAAAATTAATTGGCGTTAAAATATTGGCCAAATAAAAAGGTCTTGACCTGGCGCTGAAAAGCATATAATGATGGTGCCACGCAGACCTCTCTAGGGAGCGCATTCCATAGCCAGGGCGCCACCACAGAGAAGGCCCTCCTCCGAGTGCTCTGTCTCCTGACCTCTTTCAAAGAGGATTCCCGGAGGAGGGCCTCTGCTGCCGATCTCAGGGGGCGGGAGGGCAAATATGGGAGGAGGCGTTCCTTTAGGTATCCTGGTCCCAAGCCATTTAGGAACTTTATAGGTAATAACCAGAACCTTGAATTGAGCCTGGACTTCAGTGGGAAGCCAATGGAGCTGATAGAGGACTGGAATTATGTGAGAATATGGCATGTGGCCCTCTGGGGATTGGGACTCTGAGACTGCAGCTGTGCTCCCCCGACGAACGATGAAAGGAGCCCCTCCACGCATGCATCGCGGCTGGGGAAGTGCCGTGACTGCAAGGCAGGGTAATTTATGACCTCTGAGCCCTGCTCCTTCACTGGCAGCCAGTGTGAACTGGGCCCACCACGTGAGTGTCTGAGATCTAGCTTGGGATGCAGAGGGGAGATTGTGCCAGCAAAAGCACTGAGGGCAATCCAGCCCATGCTGTTCCTCTGCCACTTTGCTGCTGTGCCCCCCCCCGCCGCCTCCTGCTGGACGTATCCTGAAGTGTGTCTCTGTGCCCAGGGTGCAGGTGTGTGGTCCGGGGGCCACGTGTGGCCCTCAGAGGCATTTCTGGCCACCCACCAGCTCTCTCACCAAAGTGGGGCTTCCTTTGCTCGCTAGTGTTCAAGGGGATTACAAAGTGGAGAGGACATTTCGGACAGGCTAGCAATGCAGGAAAGTTAGTAGTTCACGAAGTCCTTTGAAAGGATGGCTGGTTTTTGTTCTAGGCAAAGTGAACATCACTGTAAGCGCAGAGGCCTTGCACTGGGATCAACGCTGTGGGAATGAGGTTGTGGTGACTCCCACCCATGGCAGAAAGGACACGGTCATCAAACCCCTCTTAGTGGAGGTATGTGGGCTGCTAAGCAGGAGCATCTGTGCTTTGCAAATCGCATTGCAGCAAAAATGAATCACACCAAAGGGTGGAAACTCATCCCCTCTCCCTTGGTCGCCTGGGAGGAATTTTCTCTCCACAGGAGACCAGGAAATGGCTTTGTGCATGCCAGATCCCTCAATATGGAGACTTGTAAACAAGGCATGTTTTTGCCATGGGGTCATTGGTATTTTCTCCTCCTGTTCTCCATATCCTCCTGTTCTCCAGGTTTTTATTATTTCTATTCCGATTTTATCTCTCCCCCTTCTCAGCTTAGATGTTAATTCCCCTAAGAGCTTCTAACTCTCATTCTCTCCTTGCTCCATTTTCCCTTCTCTTCTTTCCTCACATAGCCTGAAGGTATCAAGAAGGATGTGGCCATCAATTCCTTGATTTGTGCAGATGGTAAGTGCTTCTCAGGGGACCCTCCTTTTTGCAGAAGAAGGCCATTTACTTTCACCAACTTCACCAAAAATCCAAGCCTATGCAGATGTGCTGGGTGGGACTTGTAGGCCTTTGTTTTGACCTAAACTTGCATAGGATTGTACCTTAAGCTAATGACTAATAGGTAAGACGCATGTCAGTTGAGCCACAGTGCTTACTGTGTCTACTGAGAATCTAGGTGTGACCCATCCGATTTAAAAAAAAAATAAAAATTGCGATCTGCACTGCTGCAGTGGAATTGCTGCAGTCCCCATGGCTGGCTTTGCAGCAGAATCGCACTCCCGAAAGCTCCCAGTGGCTCTCCTTGGTTTCCAAATATGCCACTTGCTCCTCAACCCCTCATGTTCAAGAAAAATCAATGATTTTTTTCCCCTCCCTCTGCTCCCAGTGTGTTCTTGGGTTTTGACAGACCAGGGATAAGGGGCAGGGTTGCCGGGTTCTTCAAGACCTCAAATAAGTGCATAGCAGCCTTGCTTAAAAACTTAGAATCCTTCAACTGATAGTGAATCGATTATCTTAAAAATGCCCATATAAATAGGTTCTCCCTGGAGAACAGTTTTCCTGGATCCTTGATGTTACAGGATTTTTCTGAGGGTAACCTTCTCTCAGGGAAGGAGAAAGATGGACTTTAATTGACCTTCTATAGATCCAGTAAATTTCTGAGACCTTCAGAGGAACCCTTATTGGTTGTTCCCTGACCAATAGGATGTTGCCACATCATAACACAGAAGCAGGCCTTCCCGGTAGCGTTATATGTCCCCACATGTGCTTTGCGTGGCAGAAACGGGCAAGCGTCAAACACTTCTTGAAAACACGTTTGTTTTTATGGGGTTACTTAAACCCAGAATGGACCAGGACATGGCTCTGTTTCTTTTGGGTGCCTTTGTTGTGTAAAATTTCAACTTTTTCATTGTATTATGTAAGCCATTCAGTGTGAGCTACTTGCGGTGCAATTGTATGACCTTCTATACAGCATCCAGATGGTCACAGGATTTCTGGAGACCCAGCTATGAGGTCAGAAAGTCATGATGACCTCATGGTGAGCTTCCCATGGAGTGCCCTTCCTGTCCCTGCAGAAAGAACCACGTGGCTGCGTCTCCGAGGTCGTTCTTGCACCCTCAGGGCAAGGTGCCCCTGGGACGCAAAGTATCATGACAGAACCTCAGTTTCCTTCTCCTCAACTCTGAAGCACATCAACTAGCTGGCCAAGACTGGTCGAGACGGGGCAGGGCAGGGAGTCTTCTCCTGTGTCCCATGGATGCCTGAATCATCCAAAGATTTCCGAGAACCTCCAGGTCCCTGTGTAGGACTGAGTGGGTGGGAACACTCCAGGCCAGAGGGGAATTGGTTCCCTGAAGCTGCCACTGTTTGGAAGGAATAAACACTGGATGGGGAGTACGGAGAGACAGCACTGGCACTGGTGGACGCATGGTATGATCAAAACTCTCTTCTTGGCTTTCAGGGAACACTCAGTCAAGCACCATTTCATTGAAGCTACCCAGAAATGTTGTGAAAGGCTCAGCCAGAGCTGTCCACTGTGTGTTGGGTAAGTCCAGGGACTTGTGCTTGGAGCTGCTGATGCTCCTGTGTAGACATCCTGTTCTCCATTCTAGCCCGTCTCTGCTTTCCTTTCTTCTCGCTCAGCCATCCTCCGCTTGCAAATTTATTTTCTGCTACTGATTCGACCTGGCTCTGCATGGGTTGGAATAGCCTTTAGTCTGATGCAGCAAAGCAGACAAGCGGACTGTGGCTTCTTTCAGAGTTGGAAGCATCGTGTCCGCCCTGTTGGGGCAAAGTTAGGCCCACTGGAACTGCTGGGCACGACCCTGACCACGGTCCACGTCTTCCCAGATTAGGTTCCTCAGCCTCCTGATCTCTCCTGGCCTCCAACTGGATGGACTGCAAAGCCTGCCCCTAGTGGCTGATAGTATTACTGCAGGCTTCGGCCACAAAAAATCATAGAATCATACAATAGTGGGGTTGGAAGGGGCCAAGAAGGCCATCGGGTTCAGACCCCGGCTCTTGCAAGTCACCAATTTGCACCTTCCCACATGGAAGCACTGACTTTAATTACAGTCATTTAATGCCTTTTGGAGGGACTGCAGGTGGCGCAGTGGTTTAAATCGCTGTGCTGTTGGGCTGGTAGATCGAAAGGTCGCCGGTTCGAATCTGCACAATGGGGTGAGTTCCCGTTGCTCCGTCCCAGCACCTGCCTACCTTGCAGTTCGGAAGCATGCAAATGCAAGTAGATAAAAAAGTACCACTTTGGTGGGCAGGTAACAGCGCTCCGTGCAGTTCGGTGTTTAGTCATGCCGGCCACATGACCACGGAGACCACCTGCGGACAAACGCTGGCTCCCTTGGCTAGGAAATGGAGATGAGCACCGCCCCCTAGAGTCGGGCATGACTGGACTGAACGTCAAGGGGAAACCTTTACCTTTAATGCCTTTTCAAAGCAAAATCACCCGGGAGTGCACCTTCCTAGGGACCTCTTTGTGCACACCAAGTTTTGGGTGCCTTGGCTTCATGGTGGCCCCGACGGACAGGCAGATATGCTCTTGGGTTATCCCGACTTCTCCTTTCCTCATTTCCAGTAAGCGATCCCATCTCTCAGCTGGCTCAGCTGGCTAATTTGGACTCCCCCGGAGTCCTGGGGGCTCCTCATGGGATCCTCCACCCATTGCAACATTGGGAGATGACATTCCATCTCCTGCTCCCCAAGGGGAGCTGGGCTGAGGCTCTTGTGGCAACAACCGCCTGGACACCTGGGGCACCTGAAAGCAGGCGCATTTAGTGTGTGATCCCATGCGTATTCGGGAAGGGAAACGTCCTGCAGGGGAGCATTTGGGGTTGTGGGACTTTTTCTGCCTGAACATGGATAGGATCGCACCCGTGCTGTGGCGTGTGCAGCTTTGTGAAGCCTGGCCAACTTTGTGGGGTGCATTCAACACAGGACCCAGATGGTGGGGACACACACACACACACACACACACACACACACACACACAGAGTTAGGAACGAAAGAGGCACTTACTCTTGGCATGTTTTTCAGGGCCAGGCTGCCACCAATTCTTCGGAGGAGGGTTATGAGGGCAGGGAAATCACCGAATCCTAGAACAGAAGAGTTGGAAGGGGCCATGAAGGCCAACCCCCTCCTGTTGCAGGACACCCAGTTACACCATCCCACCCAGATGGCTGCCCAGTTTCTTTCTGAATGTCCCCAGTGTGGGAAAGCCCACCACCTCTCCAGGCAGCTGGTTCCTCTGTCCTATTGCTCTGGCAGTGAGGAAGCTCTTCCTGATGTCCAGCCTGGATCTGGGTTGCCACAACTTGAATTGATTATTCCATGTAAATGAGGAGCAGAGAAGTAAAGATGATGGAGGAGGGTGAATTTATCTCAAGGCCACTGTCTCCAGGTGTTACGGCAGGGCTTGGGAACCAACAGTGCCTGGAAGTGCTGGGAAGGGACATGGGAGAGGGGCCCGGTCCAGTCCCTGAGCCCATGACATGGCACGGGGAGAGAAGGGCTAGCCAACTAGAGGGCCTGCCTAGATCTAGGAGCCCAGCCCTGTTTCAGAGGGGCACCCCCAGAGGGGTGGAGGCCAGGACTACTGAAAAGGCAGGAAACACAGAAGTAGCAATTCAACAAATCACTCTGTTCAGGCACAGAGACGCTTCTGGTGACTATAGTTTGCTAGCTGTAATTTGGAAAGAAAGTGCTCCTATGCAAATAGACTGTTGTTTCAAAAGAATAAAGGGGAAACCTGGGTCCTCTCTCTCTCTCCCCACCCCTTTCCCCTCTCCTATACACACACACACACACTATCTCTTTCTTATTATTCTCTCTCTTATTCCTTCACTGACTGTCATTCTGCACATGGCTTTCCTGATGGGCCGTATTTTTCTCACGGTCTCCTGTCCTCCACTTTCCCCATCTCAGGTGATATCCTGGGCGGAGCCATTCACAACCTCCAGCACCTTGTCCAGTTGCCCTATGGCTGTGGGGAACAAAACATGGCCCGCCTCGCGCCCGACTTACTTATTCTAAAGTATCTGAACAAGACTGGGCAGCTGACAGAAGACCTCAATTCCAAGATCATTGGATACTTAGTGGAAGGTGAGGAAACTCACAGGGTCTACTCATGACCTTGTCCTTGGTTGGGAGGAGAAGTGGCTGGTGTCCTTCTGCTTTCTGGCTTGAATGGGCTTGCTCAATTAACTAGCAGATTGATTTGTGGAGGTTTAAACGGGGGGGGGGGGCGGGTGGCATGTTCAGGCTGGCTTTGTCCTTTGGCTTTCTGGGCACGTGTGTTTGTCTGGTGGCACAACGGTTCTCTGCTCCAGGGAGCCACAGCTGAGTCTTTCAAACACATGGTTTCACATGTGCGAGGCAACCTGGGTGTTCTCCCCTCAGGAGCATGACTCAGCCTTGGGAAACTGGGATCATAGGACCAGGGTAGTGTGAGGAATCTGTTTTGGTGGTGGGAATCCATCGGATTCCCTGGGCTTGGGTTCTCAGACTCTAGCCTGCTTTCCTAGGGCCGTGAACTTCCTGGCAAGTGTGCCGAACGGTCGCCTCACACGACTGCCATGCAGATGGTGTCTTCCATGTACAGAGTTTGCAACCTTTCCTTGAGCTGCACGTGGCCTGAAGGAAGGTTGCTGGTGGTGCAGGCGGGCCTCTGTGAGTGCTTTGGACCTCCGCTCGGCTCGTTTTCTAAGAAGGGCTGAGGCAGGTGAAGAAGTCCACAGACTGAACCAGGGATAGATTCTGTGGAGCTTCATTGCAGCCCTACCCAGGGCAGTGGCTTCCAAAGCAAGGCAGCTTGTGCACATGAGAAAGTTGGTGGAATAAGGAGGGCGTAGTCACACCAGGCAAATAATTTCCTTTCCCTTTCAGGTTACCAGACGCAGCTGAAGTATAAGCACTCAGATGGTTCTTACAGCACCTTTGGTCAAAGCAGCCACAGTCAAGGGAGCACTTGGTGAGAGTCTTTCGCATCCTGCTCTCAGTTTGTGTGTGTCCACACCCATGCACACACCTCCTTGGCCGGTGAAAAGCCTTTGTGGTAGGGCCCGGTTTAAAATAATCACAACAATAAACAGGAGAGATCAAAACCAGAACAGGCCTGCTGGATCTGACCAGAGGTCCATCTAGTCTGGCACTCTCTTCACAAGGTAGCCTCCCAGCTGCTCACAGGACGCCTCCAGAGGGATGGGTGCAAGACCTCCTCCTGCCCAAGCTGCACAGCAACCTGTGTGTGCAGGCAGGCCCCGTCTGGTGAAGGAGGGAGCACATGGCCAGCAAGGCTAGTAGCCATGGAGAGCCTCCTCTCCCATGAATCTGTCCAGTCCCTGTCCAGTCTAGCCCTTCATGTTATCTGTTCTAAGTCTTCAACCAAATTCGAGTGTTACGGGAGAGGGAATAAAATCCCTCTCTTTCACTCACCTTTTTCTAAGCCAAACAGTCCTCATGGTTGCAGGCTCCTCCTAGGAGAGCTGCTGCAGCCCTGATCATTTTTGTGACCCTTCTCTGTCCTTTTTCCAGTTCCACAATGTCTTTTTTCAGGTCAGGCAACCAGAACTGAGCTCAGTATTCCAAGCGTGGTCACCCTAAAGATGAGCACCATCTTGGCAGTTCTATTTTCTAACCTGCTCCTAGTTACGCCTGGCATGAAGTTTGCTGATATTTTCATCCAGCTCCTGTGGAGAGCATCCAGTGTTCTCCACAGCCCCAAGATCCCTTTCTTGCTCAGCCCCTGCTAGCTCAGATCCCCTCAGCCCCCAACACGCATCCTTTACGCTTGCTTACCTTGAATGGCATTTGCCATTCTGGTGGCCATTCTCCTGGCTTGGAGAGGTCCCTTTGGACTTCCTCAGAATTTATTTAATTTATTTAATTTATTTATTTTTCGATTTATAGCCTGCCTTTTCCCTACAAAAGGCTCAAGGCAGCATACATCATTCTCCTCCTCCATCTTATCCCCACAACAACAACCCTGTGAGGTAGGTTGGGCTGAGAGTCTGTGACTGGCCCAAAGTCACCCAGTTGGCTCCATGGCTGAGCGGGGACTAGAACCCAGGTTGTCTACGTCCCAGTCCCATGCTCTTAACCACTACACCACACTGGCTCTCTGTTTTGTTTTTAACCCCCCTGAATAGTTTGGTGTCAGCAGCAAACATGGCCACTTCTCTGCTCACTCCTAATTCCAGATCATTCAGGAATAGGTTGGAAAGCACACACCCCAGTCCAGAATCCTGCAGGACTCTGCTGCTGACCGCTCTCCATCAGGAGAAATTGCCATTTATTCCCGCCCTCTGTCTCCTGTTCTTTAACCATAAGAGCAGCTCCCTCTGTTGATTCCGTGACTGTTTCGTTGGCTCAGGAGCCTTTGGTGAGGGGTTTTGTCTAAAGCCTTCTGGAAGTCCTAGTGACTGATGTCTTTTGGATCCCTTGTCTTGCAGGCTGACGGCTTTTGTGTACAAGATCTTTGTTAAGTTAAGTAAGATCATCTTTGTGGAAAAAATTCACATCACAGACGCGCTATCTGCTCTGGCCATTCGGCAGAAGCCCAATGGCTGCTTCCAAGACACAGGAACTCTGCTGAACAATGCCATGAAGGTGAGTGAGAGGGGCAAGTCCGTTTCCTTGCCAGAACCAGGGCTGATGGCACCTTGGCATGAAGCATGCTAGCAGGGCCTTCCCCAGCCTGGTGCCCTGCCGATCTGCTGGAATGCAGTTCCCATTATCCCCAGCTGGCTGGGGATGATTGGCCCTGTGGTGCAGACATCCTCTGATTGCAGTGGCCCAGTCGGTAACCGTTTGGAATAAGCCATTCGTGTCCTAACGCCCGCTCACTGGGCCCTTCCTGTGTTACATATTCAGTGCCAACCCTTCCGGGTTAGCAGTGCTACTCAAAACACACTTTCCCCTATGAGCATCCCAGAAAGATAAGCTTGTCTTCTGAATCCACAATATTATACAGTCTTAGAGTGCAATTCTATACTGTATCTCGTACATCGCTTACTTAAAGAAGTGGTTCTTGTTTACTGCGAAAGAAAGGAATAAGGGGGCTGCTAGGTTGTTGTACGTTTCCCCCTGATGGGAGATGAAAATCACCTGAGGGCTCCATCTGAGGGCTGTGGAGGCCGCACTGGGCCTGCAAAGGGAGGAAAGGCACATGGGAAGCAGTGCAGAACTGAAGCGGGAGTGCAACGTGACGGTGTACATGGGAGACACCTTCAGGGAGACCACGTGAACGGGAGCTCGTACGCTGAGGTACAATCAGGAGAGAGACGCACCCCTATCGCACGAGAACTGTAGAAGATGGTTCTCAGAAGGAGCACTGCGGAGATGACAAAGGACCTCTCTGAGTACTGTCGGGATGTGTGAGGAATCTATTCCGGCAGCGGGAATCTGCTGGATTCCCTGAGCTTGCCTCCAGGACTCCAGCCCCCTTTCTCAGGGTCGTGCCAGGAAGCGAGCCAGGGCGAACGCCGCACAGGCAGCACCCCCCTTCCACACACGCGACTCGCAGCCCTTCCTTGTGCTGCACGTGCTGCAGAAGGAGGTCGCTGGCTGTGCGCCGTGCCTGCCACGCGTGCCCACGGCTTCCTCTCATGTTGGCTCGCTTCCTAAATGAGGGCTGAGCATGCAAAGCAGCCCAATGGACTCCGTAGTCCCTGCCCGATCACTGCCACCTTCATCTGAAGCCCCCTCTGCATTCCCCCCCTTGCAAAGTGGGGGGGGGGAAGATTGCAAGGAAGGGGACTTTTTCAAGCATAGCACCCCAACTCTGGAATTCGGTCCTGCTACAGGTTTGGTTGGTGCCCACCCTTCTTTCAGGCATCAACTAAAGATATTTTTGTTCCATTGCTACTTTGACCGGTGAATCGTTGGTCAATTTTAATGATGGTTTTAAGACTTTATATTACTAAATACTGCTGCCTTATGATTTTATTAATTTTTATGCTAGAGATTGATTATTTATGTTTTAATTGGTTTGTGAATTCCCTTCTAGGACATTTATTGTATTCTTTGTTGTTATCTTTTTGTTTTACTCAGTTTTGTAGTTTCACTGAAGCATTTTCAATTGTTATTGGTTTTATTGTGAACTGTGGATTTTATTGTGCTGAATATTATATTGGTTCTTATGGATTTTATTGTGCTGTGAGCCACCCAGAGAGCCCATGGCTAATAGGGCAGCACATAAATTGAGTGAGTGAGTGAGTGAGTGAGTGAGTGAGTAAGGGAAATGGATTCCTTCGAGGACCACTGTGCCCTTAGTCTGTTGCTTGAGACTCATGTCTTTCTGCTTTCTTTCCAGCAAGGTGGGGTAGATGAGGAAACAGCCCTCACGGCCTACGTTACAATCGCTTTGCTGGAAGGCCATGTGCCAGTCATCGTAAGTAGCTGTTGTGAACCTGGCCCTTTAGCCGCACACACGGGCATCCAGACGCAAAGGGTCCCAAGCAGCGAGGGTCTTCTTCTGCTGCAGGAAGCCATGCCATGGTCACACTATCTAGAAATCACACAGTTGGGGGTGTTTCGCTAATGATCCCCTGTGTAATTCCACAATCTTTCACTGTTAACAGCATTAAGGGATTCAGAGCACTTGGGTTCCCTGTTCTAGTGTCCACAGCGTGGGATCGGATGCATCTTAATAATAATAATCCCCATTCAAGGAAGGTAGGGGTCATTCCACTTACCACCTGCAACCTGAGAAACCATTCCATGAAGCAAAATCTATATCTGTCTTATCCATCCATCCATCCATCCATCCATCAAAAGATGTTCTATCTCATCCCCTACACAATGTCTCAGGATGACTTACAATAAATAATGCAGTCATTTCTTCTTAACTCATTCATTTATGAATCAAATGCTTATTTACATATTAGAGTTCTCTACTACCTGATAGATAAAGCTTTCTGGGTTATCCTCAGAAGTCAAAAACCTAAAATAGGACATGATCAAACAACATGAGATATCAAACAACATTCAGCCCTTGCATTATATATTCCTGGGATGGTCAAGAAGACTGAATAGATCCCAAAATGGCCTTAAAGCCTTGTTGAGAATCACAGAATCATAGAATAGTAGAGTTGGAAGGGGCCATGAAGGCCATCAAGTCTAACCCCCTGCTGTTGCAGGACACCCAATTACACCATCCCACTCAGATGGCTGTCCAGTTTCTTGCCCATGTGCACCCACATTCTTGTATTCTATGGTAAAGAGTTTATTAAGGTCAACAGGTAGCACGGTGAATTTATTTATTTATCTATCAAAAATTGTATACTGATCCTTCAGTGCGTTACTTTCGGAATGGTTTACAAAGAGCTAAACATTAAAACAACCTAACGAAAACCAAGAACCTATGCAAGAATGCAAGCAAAACAAGCTAAATAGCAACAACACAAAATAGATAACAGCATCCTGAACCACTGCAACCCATCGTTATAATAAAAACCAATTTAAAAGCACATCTCCAGTCAACAATTAAAATAATGGGAAAATAAAAAGGGTTTGACCTGGTTCTGACATGTATGAAGTGGCAGTGCCAGGCGTGCCTCCTGGAGAATGGATTCCAGCTCCTCATGGAACCTATCTAGTATCTGGAAGACAGAATCGTTTCTTGAAGCCATGCCCAGGCCTTCTGGCCTTCAGCTTGTTAGGAAGAACTGGAGAGATAATTGGCTCAAAGCTGCCTCCCACAGTTGTTCTGTAGATAAGCACTGCTTTTGCTGTGAGAATGAAACTGTTTGCCTTACCGAAGCAGCTTTGCCCCCTGCCAGCAGGAAGCAGGGTGGGGAGTGCTAAAGGCTATGAAACAGTGAGAAAGAGGAACTTTATACAGTCTGTGTCTTTCATTCCTGACACAGAATAAATGCCATTCATTCATTTTTTCAGTCCTTGGGGAGAGGAATTTGATGCATTGCTTTCCCAGGCAGCTTGGAGGAGCATGTAGAATCTCCTGGCCTACTGAGGGAACCCACAGGTCACAGTGAAGGGGACTGTAAACTATCTTTTGCTTGTTCCTATTCTGCATCTGCATTTCATCTGTATATTTGATAAACTGTACATCTTTGAGGCAGTGATTTCTGTTTCTTCCTAAATATTTTTGAATCTAAAGTGAGGTTTCTGGGCTACACTGGGCTCCTGGGGTTAAAACAGTTCCTCAAATCTGAAATGGTGTTACTGAAATCAATCTGCACATGACCAGAAGCACTGTGCTCTTCTTTGGTCTGCTTTCCCTGTGTCAATCCTTCTTTGTCTTCAATTTTCCTTGCTTCTACCCATCCACCTTAGCGTCTAGACCAGTGATGGCAAACCTTTTAGAGACCGAGTGCACAAACTGCAACCCAAACCCCACTTATTTATCGCAAAGTGCCAACACTGCAATAAAATGTTAGTTTAGAAAAAACAACTCACAGCCAGTCCAAGCAAATATATCCTTGGCAGCACACTGACCGGCTATGCGAAAACTCGGATGAGTGGCGGCTAATGAGTGGCGGCTCGTGATGTCATCGCCTGGTGCCGCCACTCCTTTCCGAGCATGTGCATGGCTCCTGTGTGCACTGTTATCCGATGCTCGGCTGCTCGGGCGATGCTGGGGCGACTTGGCTCGCGTGCCAACAGAGAGGGCTCTGGCTGCCCACTGTGGCACATGTGCCATAAGTTCGCCACCACCGGCCTAGGCCCTCTGGGAGAGGAAGCGTGTGCCCTTACTGTGGGATTCCATCATTCATGCTAAGTCAAACATAGGTCCCATCCTGCATTTAAACACTGCCACAATGGCTTGGACTTCGGGGCGGGTGGGACATTTTGGACACCCTCACAAAATGCTGGCCATGAGCTGGGGCCGGCCCATTCACAAAGCCTTCATTTCCCAGGTGGCAAACTGGTGAAATGAAATGAAACAAACAGGGGAAAGTTTGCTCTTCGATAGACAACCACCCTCTTGCACCCAAAGAGCAATGGTGCTGAAGAACACAATGCAGAATGTTCTTCTTTGCAGAGTGCCAGCCCGCTAGTTAAACATCATTATCAACCCCATTAGAAGGAGCATCTCCTTCCATATGTGCCTGCCCACCCCTTAGGATCTAGGGCAGATGCCCTTCTCCGGGTGTCCTCCCTGAAGGAGATTAGGAGGGTGCCTACCCAGAGAAGGGCCTTCTCTGCGGTGGCACCCCAATTGTGGAATTCGCTCCCCAGAGAGGTTTGCCTGGTGCTGTCACTTTATTCTTGCAGCCAGTGTGGGTTGATAATTTTATCTATGTTATATTTTATTGTATTTTATCTATGTGAGCCATCCTGAGGTTTTCGCAACAGGACGGCATATAAATACTTTAAATAAATAAATAAATAAATATTCTTTTCCATGGCAGGCCAAAACCGTTTTATTTTCCCAAGGTTTTCAGACTTGTTTTAATTAGGGTTTTATTATTAGCTAAATGTTAGGACTCTGTGATTTATTTATTTATGCATTTTGTAGTGTTAAACTGTCCTGAGACTTCAGTAATGGGACGGTGCACGAAAGTTTCAAATAAATACAGAAATACAGAAATATAGAAACACAGCAAGTCAGAAGGGGTCTCTCGGGCCATCTAGTCTGACCCCCGGCTCCAGCCAGCTCCACTCATGACATGCCTACCATGAGTATGTCCAGCCTATCCCCCTCACTGATGGGGCTTCAACCACCTTCCATAGAAGCCCATTCCATACCCTGGGGGTCTCAAGTGTCAGGAAGTGCTTTCTGGCATCCAATTTGAACCTTGGTTCCCTGAGCTTTGCTCCATTTGACATGTCCTGCCCTCCTCTGCAGGGGAAAACAGGTCTCAACCCATCTTCATTATTAAATTTAAGAACTGTAAAAAAAGATTGCTTAGGGCCAGTGAATATGGGGGGCTGCCCACTGCCCTGTCTTGGGAGCTGCAGGCTCAGAAAACACCTTTCCTTTTTGCTCTCTCCCCAGCACTCAGTCCTGCGGAATGCTCTCTTCTGCTTGGAGACGGCATCGCAGCGGAGAGACATCCACATTTACACCTTGAGCATGATGGCGTACGCCTTTTCCCTGGCAGGCAAGGAAGAGAAGAGGGAAGAGGCGCTCCGCATTCTGGATGAGAGAGCTGTGAAAGGAGGTGAGAAGGAAAAACCTTGTCTTGGCCCTCTTTTTCCTTTCCACGCTAGAGCTGTGATGTGCCCCCTCTGTACACAGAAGTAACAGAACAGCAGAGCACCGGCTTTCCCCTCTGCCAGGCTGTGTCATCTCCAACGCTTGGGGAGGAGAGCCTTCTTTAAGGATTTCTTGTGCTTTCTCTGTGATGAGCACAGTTGAAATTGGGGCCTTCTTGGTGGTGGACCCTGGTCTGTGAACTCCCTTCCGGGGCTGGCTCTTTTCCTTTCAGCTTTTTTACAGACCCCGGAAAACCCATTTGAGTGAGATGGTTTTCAGCAGAGGTGTTTTCTAGTTGAGATTCTATGAAGGAATGGGCCAGTTGTGGCCTTCTAGAGGTCTTGGCCTCCCATCCCATTGGCCATAGCCACATAGCCAGTACCGAGGGATGGTGGGACTCGTAGGCCAGGAACATCTCATGCAGCAAAGCAGATGTTAAGGCCAAAGAGAAGGCAAGGGTGAGAAAGAGAAGTCCCGGAGGCTGCTTTCGATTCACTTACCAGCCCTTTGCCTCGCAAGCAGGCTAGTAATGCGGAGAGCAAAGGTGAGCAGCTGGGGGATGATGGAGAACCAGTGTGGGGTTATGGTAAGAGTGCTGGACTGGGGTCTGGAGAGATTCTGGTTCTAGCTCCACTTGGCTATGTAGCTCCCTGGCTGACTTTGGGCCACTTGTGGACACTCTGCCCAACCTACCTCACAGGATTGTTGTTCTGAGGATACAATGGAGAGGAGGAGGGGAATCCTGAAAAGCCAGCTGGAATTCCTTGGAAGGACAAAATGCGGGATATAAATGCAATGTGATGATGAGACGAGAATCTCACAGGAGAGGGTTGTCTTTGCAAGAATTTTGCCTCAAAATACCGGAGGTGATTTGGTTATGGAAAAGACCAATGTGGGGTTTGGCCAATGTGGGTTTTCATGCTTTGTCTCAAAAGGCTCTTTGGAGAAAAAGAGCCACTTTAATCTTGATGCTGCTTAAAAGACCTGAGTGGTGACTGAACAAGTGGATTCAAATGCCAATAATTCCTTCCCTCTCTGAAGCGGATGGCACCCTTCACTGGGAGCGGCCTGATAAGCCCGAACACAGGAACGACTTTCCGTTCTATGAGCACCGTGCTTCCTCTGCGGAAGTGGAGATAACGTCCTATGTGATGCTTGCTATAATAACCAGACATCCGGAACCAACCAAAGAAGAACTGGAGAAGGCAGCCTTATGTGTGAAATGGCTTAGCAAGCAACAGAATCCTAACGGGGGATTCTCTTCCACTCAGGTCAGTTCCTCCCCTCCAGGAAGCAGGCATCAGAGGATATTGGAGGAGATGGGGCACAGCCCCACTTTCCTAGTTTGTGGCCAATGCCCCCCTTCCTAGGAAAGTTTCACCGCCTTGCTCTCTGTTTCAGGACACTGTGGTAGCACTCGAGGCCCTCTCCAAGTATGCAGGCTTCATCTTTTCCAAGGGCAAACTAGCTGCGCAAGTAACCTTGATCTCTGGAGGAAACAACCTTGCTCAGGTCCATGTGGACAACAGCAACCGCATTCTGCTTCAGTGCCATCCTTTGCCCACCGTGCCTGGGGAATACGATGTGCAGGTGACTGGACATGGGTGCACCTATTTGCAGGTGAGTGTTGCCAGAAATTGCAATTGGTTCACACTGGGAGGCTTGGCTGGAGAGCAAGATGAGCGCAGGCTGAGGAGGGAAGGAGGGGAGAAGGTGGGTGAGGGAGGAAAGGGATGGAACCAGGAACTGGAGGAGGAAGGGTGAGGAGAAGCGGGGAAGGTGAAGGGTGAGCTCAGCTGCCTCTTTGGCTGGGCTTCGGAGAACAATTGCCATTGACAGTGGACAGAATTGCCAGGAGTGGAAAGTGGGTAGTACTGGATGCAGCTTGTAGTCCAGCATTGGAACTGCTCCTCCTCTCACCGTGGAGGATAAGGCGGTGGGGGGCAGCATTTTGTGCCATGCTTGCCTCCCCCATCGGTCTGTAGTCTGCCAGGTGATGCGAAAAATAATTTTAAAAACTCCCAACCCCCACAAAGCCAAATGCCCACCGAGATCCAAAAGGTAACATCTAGCTTGATTCCAAGCTGAATTTGACACTTGTAGGGGTCTGTAGCAGCTGTGATTTACAACTACAATGCCTTTTCTGTATTTATTTTTAAACTTTGATGTTGGTGGGGCAGAATGGGCTCTGCAAGGGGTGACGGGCTGCATTTTACCTTAGTGCATACCGCACAATTGAGGTTGCACTGGTTGGTTGTGCCGCTCGTGCAAATATTCCCCAGTTCTGTAGAGAATGAGTTCTTTCTGTTGAAGTCTGAAGGAAGCAAATCAGGGTAGTGATCTGGAGCTGTTAGGAACAAGTGACCAATAGGCAGAGTGTAGGGACTGGGGCCACTTCTCCCAAAATATAGTGTTGAAAGTGGAGATCTCAGGATCTGAATCTGAAGTCGAAGAAGTGGAGTCAGAATCCTTAGCCTGAAATGTCAAGACCAGTGAGCTTCAAAACAAGCCATGTGGCTGGTGAGGACCAGACTATTTCTGGTTTAGTGGGGGAGATACTGTGGAACAGGGAGGACCAGATGGGGAAGAATATAACTCAATCAGTCCTGTCATTCAGGATCAAGAGAGCTAGCCAAGTAAGTAATGTCTGGTTTGCCAACATCTGGCCTTCAAGCACTGGGAACCTCCCTGAGGGTGGAGCTCATTTTGATTGGAATGGAGAAGGCAGATTCAGTTTGATGTCAGCTCCTTGGCATGAGCAGTAATTCCCCTAATTAGGTGGCATCCTAACTTGACAGATGCCTTTTGCTAATGACCTCTGCAGTATTCCTTATGCATCACAAGGCCACTCTTGGCCAACCCCTCTTTAACATAACAAAAGATAGAAGCCTCTCCTCTGATATGCTGGGAAGGGAAAAGGAGAGAAGATGGAAGGAAAAGACTAGTTTCCGACAGAGACAGTGTAGCAGTTGAGGAAACAAGAGAGGTCAGACACAAGACCCCTGTGTGGGTCTGTCAGATGAGTTATTCTGACAGCAGCTGGGTGGTGACTTGGTCTTATACAGTCCCTCAGCCTGATCATGGGCCTCTCATCACTCTCACTGGATGCTACGTCTACCACTGAAGGCAAGTTCAGTGGTTTGTGAGGCCCTGGAAGCATGTTACCCCTTGGTGAGGCATGGTGCAGGGACTGCTGCTGTTGGGGGCTTGGGTTCAGCTTCCTCTGAATCAGGAAATCTTTGGTTGTCTCAGTGGTGTCAGAGTCCATTCCAGCCCCTCCATAGGTCATGCCACTGGCCTCTCTCCCTCTGAGTCATTGTCTAAGCCACTTTTGGAAGTCTGGATCATGACAGGTGTAGCCACAGAAAAAGAAACACCCTGGGATGCTGTTTCCTTTCCAGACCACCCTGAAGTACAATGTGCATCTACACCAAGAGCATGCTCCATTCCAGCTGGCGGTGGACATCACTTCCAAGAACTGTGATAGCTACAATTATAAAACATTTAACCTGACTGTATCTATCAGGTAATCTCTTCATAGGCCAAGGCTGAGTGCAGAGGGGGTGGGTGGGTGCCCTATTAGCACTGGGGCTGTAAGAGGGGAGGGGTACCCTGGGGATGGAAGAGCTACTGTATCCTTTCCAGAGCATCCCATCTACAGACCCAGAGAAGACCCATCCCTGAAATTCACAGATCATTAGTGGAAATAAATGTATAGAACTGGTGTGTGGAGTAACTGCTGACTTGTATCAGGAGATTTGGGGTCTCATCCTGCCCTCTCAAAGAAGCTGACTGGGTAGCCTTGGGAAATCACCTCCTCTCTTTCTTTATACTATTGTGTGGAAAATGGTGACCATCCCTCTGTATGACGATGCTGGATGGGAGACCTGAGTCCTGCATTGAGCAGGAAGTTGGCCCTGATGGCCTGCTAGGCCCCTTCCAACAGTACGATTCTATAGATGGCAACCCTCTATAGATGATGTGATGGTCGGATGGGAATGTGATTGACCATGCCGGCTGCACGTGATGGAGATTTGTAGCCCCAGACATCAAGAGAGCACCAGCAGGTTGGGGGAAACTGATTTAATACGTATAGATTTTGTACAGTTCCTTAGAAGAAGCACAGTATGTCCCACAGCTTTAGGCAGAGAACTGTCCCATTGTCCCAGATGTGTCCAGCACACCAAACCAGAATGGACTTCTGCACTTCAGTAACCAGTGTCTGTCCCACTGGTCATTTTGTTGTAAGCAAATGGCAATCCTGCTAAAGGGGTTTCCACGACAGACGGCAATGTGACAAGCTGGATGTCCAGAGATGCAAAGTTGATGTGTCCCGCATGCATGAGGAACCAGCAGGTGGTTATGGGGATGGCTTTGGAGGGCCGATGACCAGAAGAGCAGCAGCCTTGATTGGGCCGCTGGGGTCATGCGCCTTTTCCCGCTTTGTCTCCCAGCTATACTGGCCCACGCCTTGTCTCCAACATGGCCATCGTTGATGTGAAGATGCTGTCAGGGTTCGTTGCGGATAAACCCTCCGTCAGGAAGGTAACCTCGCTGTGCGTGTGTGTGTGTGTGTGTGTGTGTGTCCCCTTCGAAGACAAGGAAGGCCTCTGAACACAAGGATTGCCTTGCTTGAATCTCTCCTTACTGTCCATCTCACCTGAAGGCTGCCAAGCTGATGTGAGCGGGATGACCTCCTTCTTGCTCTCCCTCTAGCTTTGGCTACTAAGAGATGCAGAAGCTCCGTTGAGCTTCACAGCAAATGGGTGTTGTATTCATCCAGCTCCATTAGTGATCATCAGCACTATTTGCACACAATACCCATTAACTTCACATGTTCACTAAGGGCATTGCCCAGACCACCATTATACAGGTGCTTCCATTTCCCCCCTCCAAAAGCACCCTCTGCCCCACTCTCTTGATATTTTGGAGAGGGCCAGAGATGGTGGCTTGATTCCATTGCTCAACGACTATACACCCTCTCTTTCACCTCCTACAGTTGGAAACAAACAGGCACATCATGCGTACAGAAGTGAGCTCTGATCGTGTCCTGCTGTATGTGGATCAGGTAAGTGAGCAAGAGGGCAGAGGTGTGAGGGCAACACAGTTGTTCCTCTAGGATGGCCAATGGGCACCTTGAGAGGAGCTGGCACACTCCTGCCTGATCTTCCCTTTACATTATGACCTCGATTATTTGTCTGCAGTTGACCAACATGACCCAGACTTACAGCTTCGACATGCAGCAAGAGATAATTGTTGAAAACCTGAAGCCTGCCCTGGTGACTGTCTACGATTATTACGTGCTAGGTGAGAAAGCAAAGGGCTCGGGCACTGCGTGGAATTTCATAAAGTGCATTTTGCCGAGAAATGTAAAATGCCGTGCGAAAAGGATATTGATAAATGTCCTAAAACAAAATCCATTTAAGACACTGTGGGGACAGTGAGGGCTGTACCGAACTGGAAAAGGAACAGAGAAGAGCAGCTAAAATGAGCAGCTGGGACTGTAAAGTGCCAGGGCAGGGGAAGGGCAGACATGATTGAGGTGTTTAAAATGATGCCTGGCATGGAGAAAGTGGTGGGGGGGACATTTTACTCCCTTTCTCATGACACTTGAACCCAGGGTCATCCCTTGAGGCTGGTTGGTGGGAGGTTCAGGGAAGAGAAAAGGAAGGATTTCTTCACATAGTATATTGGTAAACTATGGAATTTGCTGCCCCAAGGAATGGTGATGGCCCCAGTCCGGGAGGCTTTCAAAGGGGACTGGTCAGATTCATGAGGAGAGGCCATCTGTAGCTACTGACCTTGCTGGCCATGTGCTCCCTCCTTCACTAGAGGTTTAGTGCCTGCACACACCAGTTGCTGAGGAGCTGGGTGGGCGGAGGTCTTGCACCCGTCCAGCTGGAGGGATCCTGCGGGCAGCTGGTTTGCCACCATGTGTGTGGAGTGCTGGACTAGATGGACGTTACCTTGATCCAGCAGGGCTTGTGAGAGCTGGGACTCTGTAGAGGGAATTTGGGAAGAAGTACTTGGGGGGGAAACACACACCTCAGCCCTGACCAACTTGCTCCCTTTCTTTGTATTTCCAGAAGAATCTGCCAACGCTCAATACACCAACCCCTGCGATTCAGGTATGGTATGAACAGAGCCTCTTGTACCCTCAGCCCTGTCTCTTGCTTCAAAACCTTCCCTCTCTCTGGCTGCAAAAGTTTTGGCTTGGACCATTCTCATCTGTCCTCACTTTCACATGCATTTGCCTGTCCTACCTTTCCATACTGTCTCCTCCCCCTTCTGCAATCATCTCAAAGTACTCTTTAACTATATATTTCAATGTTTGGTTAAATGTGTGCTTTGTCATGTTAACACTGCCAACATCGGTGCCACCTGGTTGCATAAGTGTGGCCGTTGGCAGATAATGCGTTTGTCAGCTGCTTATCAGCCTGAGAGGTGCTGCTCAGGCCTTTTTCCATGGGAATTTGCCACGATCAAATTTGCTGCCTACCCAGGAGAGGGGCAGTGGGATGCATCAAAAGAAATGATCAGTCTTAACTAGGGGTGGGAAAGGAATCTGTCTGGGGGTGGGGAACTGTCAGATTCCCTGGGCTTGGCTTGTTGCACTTCGGGCCACTTTGCACTGGCCCAGAGTCCAAGTTCTTGACCGGCCTGCTCAGGGGTTGTGTGGGCCACATGCCAGAAATTGTACCCCAGGTATTGCGCACCCAGCACTGCTTCCTGCTGCGTGCCACCTCCGCCACTGCTAGGTTGGTCACCAGGAGTGGCATCTGGCATGACTGCTCACAGTGCCCCTTTTCCGCATCCTGCAGCTGCTCCTGATGGGGAAGCTTGCCAGGTGAGCAACCAGGAATCTGCGAGTGTTCGTGGCCTTTCTCTTGGCTCAGCTCATTTTTGAGGACTGAGCCAAGCACGGAAAGAAGTCTGCAGATTCTAGAGGGAAGGATTCCAAAAGTGTCCTCCAAACACAAGTCTTAACAGGGTAGGGGTGGGCTTAGACTGGCATGCCCAGTGGTTAACTTCAAAAAGTGCCCTTTACTGACCAATTCTGGTGTGCTTCCCAACAAGCTGTGGCCAGCACCAGTGTAGACCCCAAATCCCAGTTTCCTTCCTCTCATTCTAAGTTGGGGGTGGAGAAGCTCAGACCCAGGGCTCAAAGTTGGTCCTCCTGGGGCCCAAAACTGTCCATTTCCCCTACTCTTGCTACTTTCTTTGCTCCTGCTTCTTTTCTGCACATTGTTTCATGGTTTCCCACCATTTTTGCCTTTCCTCCTCACCATTCTAAAAGGCTGAAATGTCCCTAGTACAGTTTAGTGAAGGGCCAGTAAGAGACTGAAGGTAAAATAGGCTGGTATTTGGCCCACCATTGGAATATGGCCCCTGAGAACTCCAAAAGTGACTTTGGTCCCGAAGCTGGAAGAAGGCCAAAGGAAGAAGGCATCTGCATCAGACAAAAATGTCAGCTAGCCAAAGTGGCCCACCTTGAATGGATTAAAGGGAAGATGCCTTCTGTCATCTTGGGTTGAATGTCTGCCTTAAAGATGCTTTTCCTGCTCCTTTCTCCTCTGCAGCTGAAGCACGCAAAGGTAACGCATGAAGCATGAAGCCACATCCATCGCCTGGATTTTGAGGCAGGCAGCAGTGCTGGAAACAGCAGCCTGGATTGTGCCTATGTGGCATTAGACAATCAGAAACAAATAAAAAGCTGGCCCATTTTTCTGGTGCTTTGTGACTCTCATTCTACCGCTTCATAGTTCCTGCAGCGTCTGTTTCTTCCTGTTTGGGCAGTGACCAAGATACCCTGAGGCCTGACAGTGGGGACATTCTGAAACCTATCAAATACTCCATTCTTTTGCCATGTGGGGCCTCTGGCTGTGTTAACTAGAACTCCCAGAATTCCCTCTGTTGGAGGGAGCCCTTTCCTCAAGGTTTCCAAGGGACCACATAGTGGCTGGGGCTATTCTTGCACTTCTTTTGTCTATCCACTCTTTTGTTTGTTTCTTTCCCTCTAGCCCACAATCAGCAACAAATTTGGGTGGCAAACTCATGCCTTAAAATCTGGTCTGCTCCAAACAGCCCCAGCCATGTGTGCAGATCAGGCCTTCTCTAGGGACCTTTGGGTTTTGGTCAATCCCTTCAGTCCAAGCCTTGTGGTTTGCCAGCCATATTTTTTTCTGTGTCCTGAGAAAACAATGCTGGAGGCAATTTGGTGGTGGAGGTTTGGCTGGTCCACGAACAGGAATGAAGAGAACAAGAGCAGGAGAGAGAGGAAGAGCATGCAGGGGACCTCCTGGCTGTTGGCTTTAACTATTGGGGATTCAAGGAAATTAAGGAAGATTGCTCATGCAAATCCTGCTGTTAAGGACAGGTGTAGGGCAAAGAAAGTCAGGATGGCCCCCAAAGGTTCTTAATGGGATAAGAAGGTTACATGGCAATGCTTCACTCTTCAAAAGATTGTCTGAGGTGCTCGTGACACAGTATTAAAGAAACCTTCCCTCATCACAAGAGATCTGTCCAACGATAGGCCAGTTCTAAATGCGCTGTGGGAGAGTCGTTCCTGATGCATCTGGATGGAAATGATCTTCAGGACCCATTTCAGTCAAGCTTCTTGCTGTGATATGAAACCAAGACAACTTTGGTCCTCTTTCTGGGTGACTGATGATGCCGATATGAATTCTTTAAAAAAATCATTTAAAATATTTCATGTTCACTGCCTAGGGTAGATCTCTCCCAAGGCTGCAGATAACAGTCAAATACATAATCAAATCAAGGCTACATCACAACCAGAAAAATTCAGGAAAGTTTGCAGAATGACATTCACCACCTACCTGCTCTTGCAGTGGGTGAGTGAGAAGGACCTCTCCTGCTCCTCTTAAAGTGTGGGCAGGCTGAGATGGGTGAAGTTTGTCCCGGGGTTCTGGGTCTCTCAACGAGGTTGAACATCACTGATTGCCAGAATCCTTCTGGGTGGGCTGGCAGGGAGAGCATTGCAGAGGCTCCAGCCTTTCCTAGGAGGTCATCTCCAGAAGCTGTCTTTGAGAGACCACAGCTGGGCCTTGGGTCTGTCATTTTAGCATGACTTGCAGGTCTCTTTTCTGTCCCCTACACTGTTGAACATCTACACAGAACCACTGAAAGAGTTTGTCCCAATGTCCTCAATATGCTGATGACACTCAGCTCTATCTTTGTTACCAGACTCCAATGAAGCAGCTTATACTCTTGAACATAGCATCAACTTCATAATGGGCGGGATGAGGGTGAAGTCACTGAGATTAAATTCAGTCAAGAGAGAGATAAATAAACAGAAGAAATAAATTCTGTTAATCAATAGAAAGCTTCGTTCAGAGATGGGATTCAGGTTATTTGGGATAGGGTTGTGATCCCCCTGAAAGATGAGACTCACAGGCTGGGTTTATACAATGCAACAAGCAACCCTTCCCTCCTCTACCTTCCTAATTCATTCTGATTCCCTGCATCCCCAAATCCCAGGGCCAGACCCTAGATTCAGCACATAACAACCCAAGCATGAAGAAAGCAGTTTTATTAAAAGACACTGGACAATATGGGGCAGAGGGTCTTAAAATGACAACAATGAGGGTAGGGAGGGGAATGGGGAATTGGAGAGCAGCAATTTCACTGGACTCACACCAGTTGGCTCCCCACCAGATGCCCAGGCCAGTTGGCTTCTTCCAACTGAAAATAGCAAAGCTAGCCATTTCTCTTTTCCCTCTACTTACTCCTATGGGAAGGGGACAGTTCATTTTGTTCCTTAAACATATGCTAATTGCTGGATGAGCACATGATTGTTCTTGATGACCTGGTCTCTCTGCTGCCTGCCAGATCATCTCCCCATCTTCTAGGGCAAAAAGCTTGGCTCTTGCAGGCTTGTGTAAAACATGATGATAGACCCTTCTTTGCATTGCATGATGATTTCTCCAGGGTGGGAGCATATTTCAGAGGTTCCAAATGGAAGGGAAATGTACAACTAAATCATATGAATGGCCGCTTGCCCATTGGGAAAAGAAATGCAATGGAATTTGCAAAGCTTCCCCCCAGGCATGTCCTTCCCTTCTTCCTTGGCATGGTGTCCATGGAGGCCAGCACCACAGTGATCATTTTGGCCAAGACAGAAAAGATAGCAACTGAGAATGTGATGCTGAAGGCGCTCTGCTAGAGAAATCAGATCTCTTTCCTTGGCAGGGCAATGAACAAGAAGGAAGAAGGAAAGCAGTAGAGAGATTAGGACAATGTAGGAGATGTTCCAGTTAATGGATTTAGCTGCTGGTGTTTGTAGATATTTAATGAAGATTCCTAAAACAGAACCTGCAATGATGGAGCAGAACAGTGTCAAGGAACTCTGGCTCTCTTTCCCTGCTGAGCTGGCATTGCTTTGGGTCCCCGGCACATAGACACAGCTCAGATATACCTTTACCCACACTATTTGGTTTCTTCTGTATGCTCATGCCTCCAGCAAAAGGAAAGCTGAAGTACGAGGTGAAGGAGAGAAGACCTCAGAAATAAGTTCAAGAGATGTAATTTCCTTGCAGTCCACTGGAACAGAAGTCCTCTCTCTGAGGCTCATGAGAACTGAGTTCAAGATACCAAATTGGTAAACCGTTGTGTGTTTGAAGAGTCAACTGGGCGGCAATGATTTTGCTGCTGGGTTTAAGTAAGAATGCAACCCATAATGCTGCTGAATGGATTAGCCTGGAGCCTCTTGGGGAATGGCATCTGGACACAGAGATGGAGGAGGAATTCATGCTACAAGGACACTTCTGGCTTTAGGGACAGGCCAGGATTGCAAGAATTCTGTATTTATTCATTGAAAGAGCCACTGTACTGCCACCTCTTTTTGACCCTGCAAAACAGTCCCAAGATGACTTAAAATGGAAAGACAGTGTAGTGAAGAGGGTGCTGTGTCCCCAGGAGGGAGCAAGGGGTTGAGTCCTGTTTTAGGATTGCAGACTACAGGTGGTGACTTCAAGGACACAAGGGAGGGGAGGAAAAACATCTAAGGGTCAGAAGATTCTCAAGGACTGACATGTCCCCCTGTTGTTGAATTCCACCTGGAGGCTCAGGAGATGGGAATAATGGTTCCGATTGCTTGGGGCTGGGGAGATAAAAGAAGGGCTTCCAAGCTAGCCCATTGATCTCTTCCTGAGAGAGACATCTGCAGCTGGAGGCTCTGCTCGTCTGTGCTTTGATCCGCTACTTCTGAGAAAGCATGCTAAGTATTCTGATGGTTATTAGTCTTAGACTACTTTTAGGTCTGGGGTGGCCAAGGGGCTTGGGATTTTATTTCAGGTCTGGGATGGCCAAGGGGCTTGGGATTTTAAGGTTTAAATGTTTAATCTGTAAATTGTATGCTGCTACCCATCTTCCCCCTCCTTTTGTGTGTGTGCATTCATGCTCCTGAGAGTGTGTACCCTTTTAAAGTTCCTCCATTCCTGTTGTCTGTGTTTGTTTAATAAAGCTTCTGTTTCCATAAGTACTTGGGTCATCATACTTTGAAGTCCAGTGGATTCAACCACTTGGGGGCATGTGTTTTTCTCCCTCTGGGAACTGCGATTAACTGATTAGGAAAGGAACATTTCTTCACAGGTTAAAGATGACTTGATGGCACTTTACAGCAGCAGTAGCAGGCACCATTCAAAGCTAGAGTAAAATATGAAAGAGAAAGCAGGCCTAGTAACATTGCAGCAGCAAATGTCTTCTTCTCTCTAGGACTGGAATGAAGCCAGCAAATTACAGACTATTGCAAGAGCAAGAGCTCAGTATTGGGCTGCTGGGTAGGAATTCAAATCAAATTTGTATGTGGGCTTTCATCAAGAGATGCTCCTTTACATTCTGTTCAGGTTTCCATGCGATAATGTAGCACTTGGGAAGAAAGATGCAGCCCAGCAGCCCAGCACTGGAGGCCAAGATGGAGAAGACCTGCACGGCCACCATGTACTTTCCCCTAGTGCTCAGGTAAGTGGGCACAAAAGACACCCAGACGCTGCAGAAGACCAACATGCTGAAGGTGATCAGCTTGGCCTCATTGAAGGCCCCTGGCAGCTTCCTGGCTAGGAAGGCCACCATGAAGCAAATGGCAGCCAGGAAGCCCATGTATCCAAGGGCAGTGTAGAACATGGCCACAGAGCCTTCATTGCATTGTAGGATGATGTGTCCTGGCTGGGAGTGCATGTCTGAGTCAGGGAAGGGAGGAGAGGTGCCCAGCCAGAGGCAGCAGACAACAACCTGGATGCTGGAATAGAAAATGACAATGGAGTTGGCCAAAGGCTTTCCCAACCAGTTTCTTGCCCTGTTTCCTGGTTTGGTGGCCAAGAAGGCCAATACCACAGTGAATGTTTTGGCTAAGAGAGAAGAGACGGCAACTGAGAAGATGATGCTGAAGGCTGTTTGTCGCAGAAGGCAGGTGACCTTACTGGGCTGTCCAATGAAGAAGAAGGAGGACAAGAAGCAAAGCAGGAGGGCGACCAGAAGAATGTAGGAGAGGTCACGGTTGTTGGCTTTGACCACTGGGGTGTCTCGGAATTTAATGAAGATTCCTAACACAAGTCCTGTGAATAAGGAGAGCATCAGTGCCATGGAAGCCAGGGAGATCCCAAGAGAATCTTCATAGGTCAGGAAGGTGATCATCTTGGGAGTACATTGATTTCGGTCCTTGTTTGGATGATGATCGTCTGAACACTTGGTGCAATGGTCAGCATCT